CCATAGATTCATTCATGGAAGAAATTTCACAGACCGTTATTGTCTATTTTTGGTTCTACAAAAGGGATTCCTACACATACTGCAAATCAACTTCAGAGATGGGGAACAATATTATAAATTATAATTTTAAGATGGAGTTCCTTCTGTCAGGTTAATCTCCAAACTATGTGAACCATTGGAGGAAACTGTGATTATCAGCCCTAAAAATAGAAACAGAAATAAAAAGCCTGCTGTTCAACACCAGACAGGAATTACCTGTGGCACTTGAGGAAATCAGAAACAAAGCGGAAATAGACAAATATATCACAGAGAAAAAGAAATAAATTATGGACCAACAGTACAAAAAGAATGGTGAATTTTTTCTGTGATGGAATTTTGATGTGCACTAAATGGGTGGTGATACCAAGAGTGCTGTAAAAAAGAATATTAAAAGATTTTCATACAGGTCACCTCAATATATTGAGGATGAAAGCTTTAATAAGAAACTATGTTTTATGGCCGAGTATGGACAAAGAAATAGAAAAATAAAAAAATACAATAAAGAAAAAAAAAAAGCAAATACAAAATCCTATATACCAAGAGAAAATTTTTTTTCAAAGTGTATAGAAACAGGAAAGAAATTTGGAATGCTGGCATCAATGATAAACACATAAATAGATTAATTCATATAATTAAAGACCAGAAAAAGACCATTAAGTGACATTACAACCAGATGAGGAAAAGTTGCTTGTAGGATATAAATAACCAGAAGGAAGAACGAATGAAGGTTATTTATGACTTATTTGATGTAACGATGCCCTTAGTAGCCCCTGAGGGGACACATTCGAATAAATGGAAAAGAAAATTCAGAGACTATAGAGATAAACCTGAAAAGGAAAAAGTATGACTTCTAGAGGAAGTAGTCAATTCAAAAAATGGGGATGTTGTGGCGTAGTTGAATATCCCCACAAGATGGACTGGTCTAAGACTAAATAGCACTCTCTCTTACTGAGGGAGAGGAATTACTATATTATTCTCCAGAATAAACTACTTCTTACTTTCTATATGTGTGCCAACCTTTCCTATTTACAATGCAACAGAGACAAAAAGTATATATTGCAATAACAGTGTCAAGGAAATGACTGTCCTTTTGAAAAACTGTGTACATAACATGATATCAAAAACATTTTTAAAAATCTTGAGAATTTTTATGGGCTTGGATTACAAAAGAATTTTGAAGATTTGTAAAATTACATAAAGCTTATCAAAATAATATTGCCTCAGTATTTATTAAACTTACTTTTGTCTGGCACTCAGCAACATGGGTATGAGATAAAAATTGGTTTGTATTAATCTTCCAAATGAAATGGTAGGTTTACCTTTGGAAATCAACATTTGAATTTTCTTTTTTAATAAGAAATATCTAATTCATTCAGCCACAATACAAGCCCATAAAAAATAATGCCTATTCTATAATGTACTGTAAAGGACATAAAAGTATATGCTCTCACTTGACAAAGTTTTCTCTAATCAGGTTTTAGATTTATGACACCACTGGAAAATATTCTATTTTATTTGTTAAGTTTAAGATAGACACAAGTTAATTTATATAATTCAAAAGTGACTGAAGCTGATATGCCAGGTCAGGACTGATAACATTGCAGATTTTTCTTTATATTTTGTCAAGAATCTCAAGATATATAGCAGAAGCACTAGATCAGATGTGGCAACAATATTCAATGCACGGATGAATGGTAGATTTATAAAGGTGAATGACGGATGCTGGTGAAAGAAAATTGTCAAGCACAGCACCACCAACTTTCCTTGCAGCAGATCACACAAATTGATTCAATATAATTATTCCACTTCATGCCAAATGGAAAACATGAGACCAAAAAGATGCAACAAGTTGCTCTCTTAGAGGTTAGCATCAACCATGCTGATGAAAGGCGAAAATGCTTCTCTAAGACGATTAAAAGAGAGCAGTTTCATTTTGGAGGCATCAAAATCAAATTTGCCTGAAAGGTTATGTAAGGTGCTAGAAAAACCACAGAAAATACTTTAATGACTGAATACAGATGCTATGAATTTTTATTAAACAAAGATTTTTAAAAACTTTGAAGATTTTTGTATCTTCCTAGCATAAGCTACATTTTTAATTTTAATCCATTCTTATTTAAAATAAGAATGGATACATTTTAAATATCTACAAACATTGATACATTTTCTATATTTTGTCAAAAAATGCTCTAATGTATAATTGGTTGAAGATATTTCTCCTTGCTTACTAATAATATGCAACTAGCAGTAGAGCCCGGCATTGCCTGGGGAAGTAACAGTAAGAGATATATCAAGTATTGACCATCATAAAGACTGAAAAATAAAATTGACAAAGATTATTGTTTAAGGTTGACGGACACGCATGTCTTAATTAGTTTTTTTTTTTTTTTACGAATTGGTCAAACCCAAACTCAAACAAAAGCATTGTTTTCAATTATGAGTCTACCGATTGAAGGGAATTTTATTATAAACAATTGTCTTGTAAATGGAATTTTTAAAGCATTCTGAATGTAAAAATAAAGAAAAAAAGTTTGCAAGACAATAAGAAACACTACCTGCCAAAAAAAAAAAAGTGAAGTTTTGTTGAAATCGGTTGAAAAATGTAGAAAATCCGATCGCATATATAAATGAACACACACACAAACAACCTGGGTTTTAAGTATAACTCGATATGAGTTGTCCCCCTTTCATTCTCGCGATTTCTCTTAATAGTGTTTTCAAATTGATTTCGTACAAAAACAATTGTACTTTTCCAATTTTTGGCACTGTCAGAACCACCGCAAGGTAATTTTACGTTGTCCTGTGAAGTTTTGTTGAAATCGGTTGAAAAATGTAGGAAATCCGATCCAATATATAAACGTACAGACACACACACACACACACAATTTGCGTTTTATAATAAGTAAGATTGTTGTTTTATCTTAATATCTTTGTGATATATTGCTACGTTCAGATTTGATTTTACCACAGTTTTAACAATTTACAGTGTAAACAATGAAAATAATTATTTAAATATTTATACCAAATTTAAAAAGCCAAACTTTAAGCTTAATATGCTCTATAAAATAATGAAAAAATTCCCTTTCACAATAGATCCCTTTTCATATTTGTTTAGATAATATCTCCACCTAAAACTCTGAACTTTTATTTACTGTTGAATTACTTTTTCTTTTCTCAATAGGAGCAGATAGTTTCACCTATCAATCAGTTCACATTCCTCCCCAGTCTTTTGAACAAGGGTAGAGGTTTATCCCCTGTTTCCTGTTTAGGATTGGGTTTCCCCGTTCCTTGTAAAGCCTTTTCCTTCTCTTTCACTTCCAGTAGCCTCTTGCATCTTGGTAACATTGTCTCCTTGCTTGGGACGGTGCCTCTTACTCTATAAACCTCTCCTCGAGTAGCTCTTGGGCTTTGTACAGAGTGAATATCATTGTAAAAAAAGTTAAACTCTTAAATTTGGCATGCATACTTATTAGATTGAGGTGAAGGTTTTAACATATGTCATATTCCTCATGGACAAATGAGAGCTCTATTTTTTTTCTGTTATATGAAAATATTTTTGTAGTAACAATTACCATTTAGAACTGTTAGGTATAAGACTATAATTTATCTTTTATTATTAAAGCTAAAAAAAAAAAAAAATCAAACAACATGCAATCTGTAAAAGTAATTCCATAGAACAATTTTCCCCCAAAATACATTTTCAATTTTTCTTCTATGTATCTTCATATTGAAAATTTACCAGGAACAAATGGAATCCATTTTGTTTTTCATTTAAGCTACTAAACATAAACACCATCTATATCTGTTACCTTTGAGACTTAACTTCTAATACTAAATTGAAATAAATTGTGGAATTAATTTTCTGGACTATGTCCAGCAGCTTCACTCAACCTGATTCTGATGGAGTCTTACCATTACAGTATTAAGAAATCATTCTACTGTCATTATAGCCAACTTTGATCAAAGTCTTGACCTCTTTAACCAGCAAAAACGGGTACTTTAGCTAGTGCACATAATGCACAAGAAACAAATGATATTCAACAACACACCTGAAATAACAGCCATATATCCTTGGCAAGATGAAACATGCTTAAAAACAAAATATACCCAAATAGATTAAGTTGAAAGTAACAAGAATGTAACGATTTCCTTTTATTTTATTTCTATAACATTTTACAAATCGGAATGTACATGATTTTTTTAAAAAACAAGACACTTTGAATCATTAATAATAATCAGCTTAAAAATGTACAAAAATACAAATTTCCTGAGAATCACGGTTCATCACAGACATAAAAAGGTATGAAGATGCTGATGATGTGGCCAATGTTCAAATGTTGTCATATCACAAAAGAGAAATTTAAGATTTCTTTACAATTCATCAATAAAAGAAATAATTATATGAAATGATAAAAGTTATAAAAGAATACTGAAGACCTATTTTATTAGTAATAGCAAAGCTGATATTCACATAATTTCATAATAAGATCAGATTAAAATTCTGTCAATGCTATCATTGAATAGAGTTAAGCTTAAAAATTAGACTTTGAAATGATTTTTGCACTGTAATAAAATTTAAGCATTAAACAATTTCTATAAAAAATAATTTGCAGTTAATTTCTATTGTAAAACATTTGCTGTACATTTTTCATGGCAATCATTTGCAATGCAATGCAGTGGGTTGGAATGGCAGTAAATGGATATCATATACCAATGTCTAGATCAGTATAGACACCAACACAACCCACAATGCAATGCATTTTCATAATTGTTCCATCAACATTTATAAGGCCTTTCTCTCCCAAAAAATGATATCTTTTCTAAATTGCATTACTTGCAATGTATTTCAATGAAAAAAATTAAAATTCTTCTGCAATATGCTATTTTTCAAACATTGACCATTAATAACAATAAGTAAATAGACATTTGATGATTTTTCTTTACAGTAAGATGATGGGTATTTACAAGAGATTGAGGAAAGGAAAAATAAGTAAAGGTAGCACAAGATTGTCAATTTGGTCTGTGAAGGCTTCATAAAGAGAAGTGATAGCAATGGTGAAAACTAGTCGCAGATTGATTGGAAAGTGAACTGAAAAAAAAAAAAAAAAAAAAAATATTTTAATAGAGAATAGTAAAAATAAGTTATAAATTTTTTATTAGTTAATTATACAAAATAATTAAAAAATAAATAATAATTAAAAAGTGTAATTAATAAATAAATATTATAATCATCTAGATTTGTATGTACTTTATAGAGAAGAGTATTTTAAAGAAAGTCAGTTTATGAAAGTGATATGTCCCGGAAAGGGATATATTTGAATGAAGTAGCTAAGTGGTTTTGGCTACTATAACCAAGTAGAATACAGTAGCAGTAATCAACTGGTATGCATCATAGTCACAGGTAAGAAGTGTAGATCAATGGCATAGTCCAATGGGCGTCGTTATAGACTTAACTCTCAGACTAAGGCTCTCTTCTCCCTCGTACCTACACGTCCGTCGGTATTTATGACGGACACAGCCAATCATATTCCAGTGAGAGGGAACATAGGTGTATGCATATTCCATTATATCAGAAACATTGTTACATTGTAAAATTTTTTATTTTTAGAATTGGCTGTTAAAAAAACTGCCAAATTTATTTCTGTCAAGGTGATTGTTTTAATTTCATTTTTTAAATTAAAAAAAAAAAATATGTACAATTTCTATTTATTATCCAATGAAAATCACTAGAAGTTATGGTCTGTCTAGAACCCCTTTAATTGTTATAAAAAGAGAAGGGCCAACAGATAACCTTCAGAAGGTATTCAAAATTCAAGGAAGAATGTAATCAAATTTCAAGGCAGAAGGTGGTTGGATAACAGAAGGGACATAGCCTGTTGCCTGCAGATGAAAGTATTCAAATTTCAAAGAAGATCTAATTTTCAAATATTTCAACCAAGATGAACCGACACAAAAATTTCATCCTGAAGGTAGAATAAGGACCCAGAAGGGAAATCAATTTGGGGCTGCCTCCTGAAAAGCCTACGACAAAAGGATCTGAAACCTGTTATTAGAAATTCTTACAAAGTTTCCTACATTGTGATTTTTTGTCCTATGATTAGGTGGGTGCATCTTTCTTTTTAAAAGATTTACCTTTTCAAATTTTGTATTACCTTCTCAAAGTTTTTTTTCACTTTTTGAAGAGTGGAAATTTTAAAAAAATCACATGTATATTTCTTGATTTGTTATCCTGCTTTATTTTTTAAATAAAGTGCACAAAATGAAATTTTTGTACAATATTGTACACTACTGTAAAATATTGTATTTGTTTTAATGTTTTGTAATAAATGTTTGTTCTTTTAAATTTCATGTAGTAGTTCAAAGTTTTGTTTGTTTTCACCTTTTTCAACAACTGGGAAAAGAGAGTGGACATTCTCTCTTCTTCCATTCCTTCCCAGGAAAAATAAATTCTTTTATTTTGCATAAAAATGAAGTTATTGTAAAAGAAAATTTCTCTTAAATTAAACAATTGCAATTATGCTCCAATTTCATGAGTAAAATCATTAATCCATTAATGTCCACCATCCTATAACTATGGAGTCCAGTCTACCTCATTTTGCTAGATAGCCATTGATCCTACAAGAAGGTTCATCCACCCTTTGACAAGTTTTGTTTTTAATCCTTACTTCTTGTTTTCCAGTCAACTTTGATCTTCAAAAATTAAATGCAATGTCAATCGTTATTTACTGTCTTTTCAATTCCTGATCTTTTATTGTCCTCTCTCCATATGTTTTGTTTTTTCTCATATTTTTTCACACTTAGTGTCTTACTGGCATTATTGCCTTGCTTGGGGTGAAATGATTATAAAAGAAAAAAAAATCCTACTGAGTGTCTAGCCACCCTCCTCCCCAGAAACACTTGGTGAAGGAACCAGTTTAGTTGCTGATGACCCAACGATGTATCAGGTAGTACTGGATTACATGCTACCAGTAGCACTCATAGAGTGACCTGACATATGATATTATAAAATATAAACAAAAACAATTATTTTTAATATAAACGAGTAGTTATTTAAACCAGGTACTTTTCATTGGTTTATTAATATCCAGTCAATAATTTCACAGCAAGTAATATTCTAAAATTAAAGGTTTTAACAAAGAATTTATAGCAAAAACCTTTTGAAGATTTTGTGCCAGGAATTTCATTTTTAAGACAACAAAATCTCATTATTTTCTTTTAAATAACGGTTTGTAATAATTAAAAAAAAAACTTTCAAATAAAGTGAAATGTCAAAAAAATAAATACTTTACCCATAAAGCTCAGGTACCAAACAAAAATCAGTTGAGCAATAATAGAGAATAACGTCCCTTCAAATGTTTTACTTGTGCCTGGAAAAATAAAAACAATGCTTTCATAATGATTTGAAATTGACAAAATAGCCAAATAATTAACATTATTAGATGTTAAAATTTGCTGGCTACTTTTAAGTCAAGAGATTGATTTTCATTCCAGTAAATGAAACTGATACAAAAGTGCATTGATTCTTTTGTTCATAATTAGATTTGCTGAAAATTCTTTATAATTGTTTTTTTTAGTGAAAACCAAAGAAGTTATAAATTTTTTTTTAATTCTTTGTTCCATCAGGATGTAGGTGTTCGTGGCTCTCCACAACTTCTAAGCTGTGGAGAGCCATGAACACCTTTATACACCTTTGCTTTATTATCTGTGAATTGCCATGATTTCTTGGGGAAAAACAGTGAAATAGTTTCCCTTTGCTTTTTCTACAGTTTTCAATTTAGAATTGTTCTTCACCCAAAACTAGATAGTCTAGTCTACTATTTAACCCATAGCTGGAAGAGAACTGATAGATTCATGCCTTTTCCAAGGGTATTTGTACAGAATTGAATGTAACAAAGTGGGAATTTTAATTTGTCTCTCTGATTCCACTTCCTTCATCAGTAAACATATCTTGCCATAGATTTAAAGAATACATAAATAATGCTTGTGGTACAGCAAAGACATACATTGAAAACAAGTTAGAATCACCAGTCTAACAGGTATGGGTCTGTTAGAAAACAGTTTGAAGGCAGGAGATAGAATTAAAAATAAAAATATTGTTTACATGAGTTTACTCTTTGAAATCTATAGATTTCTTTTTTTATAGATATTGTATATACTTGAGTATAGTGCAAGTTTTTATGATCATTTTTTTTCACACAAAATACAGGGGGTAGCATTATACACAGGTAATTTAATAATGTATTTTCTGTGACCAGTTGCACTATACACAGGTAAAATTTTTCTGTAAGGGTTAAAATTCAGGCCAAAATATTCAGGAATTGCACTATGCATGAAGTCTGCTTATACACAAGTATATACAGTAAATTCTGTTTTCATGCTAAACAAATTATATTTGGATTTCTGAATGAACTATCATATAATTCTGCTTGTTTTTTGATTCCTTTGTTAGTTAGCATGTACATTACACCCTGCCAATATCTCATGAATAATAAATTTTTCTATTTTGATTGTGAGTAAAGACAGAAAAGACATATTGGGACTGTTTGGCTTCAGTGAGAGAAAGAAAGGGAAAATAGAGGAAGCAATAATGCAGACATCTATTTAACGTCTGCTGTAGTGAACTCAAAAAAAAACTTATCAATTTCAAATCTTTATTTGTACACTTACTTCTTTAAGCAAAAGACCCACATTCATATTTAAGTTATTGCAATATTTGATAAAAGTTATTGTTGTAACCTAGGAAGGGTTACTGAATGAGGAATAGCCAAAACAGAGGTTGGAAATGAAATGGTAATCTTTATAACATCAACGAAATACAATACTCACTAACGGCATGAAGTAGGTAAACCACTGCTAGTGGTGGACTACTTAGACAGCATATTACCCCCACTTACAATAGTGTTCAACATATTTATGAGGATTGGGACATAACCATTAGTGTTCATAGGTATGGTATATAACAGTTATTAAGCTCAAATATTTAACAACACAATGAGCTTATTTATTAAATATTATGATACATCAGAAAATAAAAATAGAAAAGGTTAAATTTTCCAGATACTACTAGTGTACATGAATGAAAGACAGTAGCACTGATTTAATCAAAGACAGTGTCCTAATTTATAGAATTTACCTGATAACTTTATCTTTCCAAACTTGCTACCAAAGGTGGAAGCTGCCGAGTCTCCAATGCCAAGAGAGAGGAATCCTGCAAAAGCGCTCACGTAGTGCGCTAAAGAAGAAAATTGCTTTCAAGAAGGCAAGAAAAGAAAAAAAACAATGATACTAATTTTTGATTAATATTGAAAGAAATAAAATTAAATTAAAAAATAATAAATACAAGATTTTTCATTTTTAGATGAGAGACATTTCATTATTGTTTTATTATGAGTTTTACTATATTACTGCTTTTTATCCCAACAGCCTGGATTGATATAATCCTCAACTACTAAATCAAACAAAGTGAAATCAAAAATTTTATAAAAGACACATTCCTGAGTCAAGCATTGTGAGTTCAATTCTTCTCAGAAGAGATTTATTTATTTCTGATTTCACACTCTTTATTGGAACTGTTGAAGCAAATATCAACCCAGTGTTGAAATAAAAAGCAACAATAATAAAATAGAGTCAAATCTCTGTCTATAAAAGGCAGGATTTGTGTGTGTGTGTGTGTGTGTGTGTGTGTGTGTGTGTGTGTGTAATGAATACATGGCCGCAATTTTCGACAGATTTGCACCAAAATTTACATGCACATGCTCTAAGTTAGCGGAAAGGCCAAGACTGACTTTGCATTTCCCAACTCTCATCGATAGTGGAAATAATTGATTTTTTCATGCTTCTATGGCAGTTTTCATGTAGTTTGCAGCCATTTTGTACTGGCCAGAGTGAGAGCCTATAGCTGGCTGCCACGAATAGACAGGAAGATTCTATTGGTCAGCGTGAGAGCCAACAGATGACTGACACGAATGTTAACTAGCATGCAAAAAAAAAAAAAAAAAAAAAAAAAAAAAAAATAGCTGCATTCGTCACAAGTGGGAAAAATTTAAATCTGCATGGCACTTTACTCCAATTGGCTCATTAAACACTTAAACTCAACGTTGATTCTGATTCTGCAGAACTGGGTTGGATGTCAAAAAGTATTTGTTGTTAACATTCTTTTTTAATTCGGTTTTTCCAGTTATGAGTCCTTTTTTAAAGCTGATCGTTTTGTGTTCATTTTGCTTAGTTCTTTTTTCATAACAGATTTAATGTTTAGAATAGAGCTTAGAAAAAATTTGCAGTGTGAGATAGGCAAGAAGTAAGGCATGTAGCAACATCAGCACAGCAAAGGTCACTCCTTTAAAGGCAAGGAAAGGCAAAAATATTTTAAGTCAAGGGATAGCGATTACTGTATGAGTCATACAATTTTTGAATTAAGCACAGGCAATGCCGGGCCATGCTGCTAGTTATTAATAAAATAAAAATAGTTTTGCTGTTGAAACAGAGCCTCACCACCCACAGTATCAACCCATACCTTTGTTGTTCTCTGAAAGAGAAGGGATTCTTATTGAATATATAGAGGAATAACGGCAAATATTCAGTTTTACCATATAAAGCTTTTCAAGATAGACTTTCACTATTTTTAATTAATTTCTTAGAGACTTTTTCCAAAAAAAAAAAAAAAAAAAAATTTTAAATGTGCAAAGGTTTCTGAACTTTATTCATATTTTTAATTCCTCCAAAAATTCATTATTCGTTTGCATCAAAGGTTGTTGAGAATGCTGCTTTGGGAAAGTCCAAGAAAACATTTTTAACATGTTCCTTTAGGATGACACCAAGATTCTCAATTAAACTAAGATCAGATGAATTTCCTGGACATCTGCCAAATCCATGGGGAGAACCAAGCTTTATCTTTTCTAATAGTGTTTGAGTTGAAAGATTGTGTACGTGAAAGTTGGTACTATTGAAGTTAACTGGTCCACTTGTTAAAAATAAGGAAATTTATTTTTTAAATAATTTTTGAGAGTAACATTCATTAGACAGCATTTGTCAGAATAAAAAAATATTGATTTTTTTTATCATTTTAGGAGGTGAGAGGGAGTCTGATGAATGCTAATCTACAAAAAAAAAAATTTTTTTGAGCAGACGAATTAACCTTGTTGCTATTAGGTTAGAGTCTAATTCACAGTGCGCTAATTTTAACATCTTATCCCAACCTTGGCACAAAGTAAAAGTAATCTTTGGATTCACAGCACACATGCACCCAGGTTTTTTTCTTTTCACACATGCCCAAAAGCTGAAAAGGGGTTGCTGCTGCTGATAGGATTATCAATGTATGTGTGTCTAATGAAACCTTAGCAGTGTTAGAAAGTCAACTGATTAAATCTGCCCAATCAATTTCATTGTTTTCTTTAGCAAAAACAGGAAGTATCTATTTCAGTTTCCTTAAAATATAGTGTAACCCGGATATAAGAGAAACCCGGATATAAGAGAGATTTTCTCTGGTCCCAAATTAGAGCCCGTGTTAATGTATATAAATTAGACCCGACCCGGATATAAGAGAAACCCGGGTATAAGAGACTTCTTCTTCGGTCCCGACAACTCTCTTATATCCGGGTTACACTGTAATACCATGATTGTCCAGCAGCTTTGATGTCCCATATAAGTGCTTTAGATATTACACCAATAAAACTCCAACATAAATAGGACACTTTGTTACTGGAGCAGAAAGAAATCTGAAACTCTTTTCCGAGTTTGGATCTACATGCTCTCAAATGGAATAAAGGGAAAAAAATCATCAGAAACCATGAAATGCAATAGTCACACAGTTTCTTCACTAATGTCAGCCAGCAAATTCCACAAAAAGAAACAGGTGTTTTTGCACAGCTTGCATTAAAATCTAAGATCATAATACTGTTAATAATGTTAGGTTCTATTAAGAGTAGAATACATGCACTTTTCAGAGAAAAAAATCCAACAACAAAAAGTTATGAGACACCCTTTACATAAATGATTATATATGATCAACAAAAAACATGTGCAGGTAAGAAGGCTCTTTTGTAACCTAATCCTTAACTACCGAAGACTGGATATTTTCTGTTGAAATAGGTTTGTGTCTTATAGACCCGTCTATCCTATATATCATTAAATACAATGTGTAAATATATCAAACTGACACAATCCTTTAGTCTGCATAAAGAAAATAAAGTACACTACTAAATTTAACAGAAACAAGAAATTCAAATCAGAGACTGACTATGCAGTATGGCGTTGGTAGCTGATAACCACACAGGTACTGAAAATCCAATCAGTAGGTAAATATGGGTCACAAAGAAAGGTCCTGTGTCCTTATCATCAAGGAAGATAGACAGGCTTTTATGAAGAAGAGAACCAAATGGAGGCACTTTGTACATTCTCACTTGCTGAAAAAAAAAATGTCAAAATTATAAATTATGATTATTAAAAAAAAGACAAACAATCAAGCTCCTAGAATTATTTGTTATTATTGTCTTGCAAATAATATTACAATTTCTTAATACAGAGCATTTATTGCACATGAATACTGTATTTGCTATAAGATCATTAGTGAGTGATTGATTTGATTTTATTGTTTATCAACCCTTTGTGGGTTATTTAAAGCCAAAACATATTTCAGATTGTAAGAATAATTTTTTTTTTTTTTTTTTTTGCAAGTAAATATTGCATTAACAATTGTTTTGGAGATAACAATGATTTTCCAGATACACATCTATTTAACCTTTCATAAGGATATTCGTTTGTATTTGTATGTAACAAACTTGACTGGAATTCAAACTTGGCTCTCTAATTTCTCATTCCGAACTGCTAACCATTACATCACCTGTACATCCTGATCATTGGCAAAGTTTAACATACACACAAGTAAAACTACAGTGTGTCAAAAGAACATTCTCCTTTGGTACTGCTATTATGAGGTGCATTCAAAAAGTATTTGACTATTTCCTGTCAAAACTAATTCTGCATGGGCAAAATTCTTTCCTGTGCATGCATGAAAATTTTAATGCTGTTAGGCCACATCAGTATCCAGCAGTTATGTTTAGAGTACTGACATGTAGTGCACACTTGTTGGATTTTCGTTTTTCACACTAGAAGACCAAGCACATCAAGCAGAGATATTGCATCAAGTTTTGCTAAAGGCTTTGTGATACTCAAGCTCAAACCATCCAGAAGATTCAGCAGGCCTTTAGCAATGATGCCATGGGTAAAATTCAGATCAAAGAGTGGTACAGCCACTTCAAACATGGCTGCACCTCAGTGGAGAGCAAGGTATGACCAGGCAGGTCATCCACAGGCTGAAACGAGGAGCTGATTGAGAAGTTTTGATGAATAATCATGGCAAACCATCGTGTAAGAATCTAGAAAATTGCTCATGAAGTGGGAATAAGCACAAGATCAGTGCATCCCATTTTAACCGACAATTTTTTTATGCAGTGAGTATCATTGACATTCACCTGCTCATTCTGTTCACATAATCCAAGCTTTCATTTTAAAGAACAACACATCATTTGTTCAACAGGCTCCCTACTCATTCAACTAGGCACCATGTAACTTCTGGTTATTCCCCAATCTGAAAACAATGCTGAAAGGGTGTGATTGGAGTCACGAGAGAAAATGATGAGAAAAGTGATGGCAGAGCTCCATAGCATTCCAGAGTGGGTGTTCCAGAGGCAATTACCTGCAGTGGCAGAACTGCTAAAAGAAATGTGTGAACTCCCAAGGAGAGTATTCTGAAGGTGATTAAATAAAATTTGTGAAATGTACAAAATTGATTTTTTTATGCCCAAAGGTTAGACACTTTTTGAATGCACTTCATATAGTCATTTTTAATTAAGCTAATTTTAGAGTTTTGCTAAAGGCTAAACATATGAAATTGGATTTATACATTTTTTTCTTGAGAACTTACAACATAAATGTTAAACATTTTATTTATTCAATTGTTTATTTACAAGAAAAAATCCAAGAACATCAACAATTTTTTAAAAGAGTATAGAATTTCATTTGTGAACTATGACAATAAATTATTTATTTACAAGATTATAAAATTATTTATATAGTTTAATATAAGAATAATTTTATATGTAAAACTATATTAGATCATTTATTCTCCCCTCCAAAATAGGTAAATGGCATTATTGAAAGGAGGTTTATTGCTAGAGTTGTGTTATACAAATAAGTGATTGAGATGAGTTGTGATGAAATTTAAAAAAAAAAACTTTACTGCTGCTTAGGAAACTAAAGATATAACAAAAGAGGCAACAGTACTTTTGAAGAACTGAAGTCAAACTAAACAACCTATCTTTGGTGACAGGTTGTCTTCTCATCTCTGTCATGGGGGGATTCTTTGCTCACACTACAAACTAGAATTGACAGTTAAAGCAGAGATTATCCAGACACAGGAGAGAGAGAGGTGGGAGGGTGGTTCATCTCTGATGCCCAAATCAAGTGCAAAAATTTCATAGTTGTCAACCAGAAAGACAAATTCCATCTATCTATTGATTTCATTCCCACCCACAAGACTTGACCAGTCTAACATTTTAAGATTGAAGTGATCCTAAACTTTCACTCAAATAAATTGAATTTGAATGTTTTATTATAGATTGTATTTAACACATTTTTATTTGGTGGATTGACTGATTTGTTTTTTATGTTTTATCAACCTTTGCAGGTTATTTAAAGCCAGAAAATATTTTACATTGTGAGAAATTTTTTTTTTTTGAGATATAATTTACTTATACAAGTCCTACTATCTATAGCTGGGGGGAGAAGAGGTAAACTCACACCTTTCCCAAGGGTATTTGTGTGTAAGTGAATATAACAAACTTGACTGGAATTGGAGCTTTGTACTCTGATTTCCAATTCTGAGTCATTATGCATTACACTACCTGCACTTCCACTATTACAACACCGGGTATTCCCAAACAGTCATCAATCTAGGTAATGACCAGGCTCAACGTTGCTTAACTTTGGTGATCATACAAGAATCGGTGTTTCAATATGATATGGCCAAATGTTATATTGGACATGTGCACAAACAAACAACAAAGAGACAAAAATAGAAATGCTTCAAACCTCAAGTCCCAAAAGAATGGCAAAAGCCAAAGATGCAGCGAGTGACAAAAACTGTGTATCAATGAGGAGACCAGGAAAGTAAACCCCAACCATGACAAGGTGAAAATATTTCCTCACAATAGTGGTTGTTGGGTCTTTGCTTGTATTATAGTTGATGACCACTTTGATAGCAAAACCTGCCCAAACGCACCAGTACAGCAGTAAACAGACCTGATAAAAAAAGAAAATTCAACCATATCTTATGCGGGCTCAGAGAATAGTAGAAGATAATGCTCATTAATTTTTATCACTTCATAATTATTTGCACTGTTTACATAATTACATAGCAATAATGTTGTTTAAACATTATAAGAAAATATCAAAGATGCTGTTTAGTGAATTAGCTACTTCAAAATTAAAAGTGTAAGGTTTTTTTACAAGAATATTTTATAGTACATGAAATAGTGTTGGTGAACAAGAGTATATGCACAAAATAACAGATCAATTGATTTGCAATGCAAGATAACATTTATTAAACAAAATTAAAAGGAAAGTTTAAAAACAAGAGTTTCTTTTTGTTAGAAGTAAAATACATATGCAACAAAATGTTCATGAATATATTTGAGCGGGATTTACTGTGTTGGTGTGTTTTAGTGTAAAGTGTTTACAGCCCTTTTAGTTTCAGCATGTAAAGTTCATGTCACACAGTTCAAAAGACAAAAACCCAGAAGAGAGAGAGAGTTACTTTAGGATTCACTTGTTTTTATATTCCAGAGCTGCTGCTGATACAAGGTTTATTAAGGGCTGCTACTGATATTATTTTTAAGGGCAGTACATTGTGTGAAATAACAGAAGGTAGTGATGAAAAGTACTCAGCCTAACCAAGAAGGGAATGAACTAGAGGCATGAAATGTACATGCTTTCCCACATCTTCCCCTTGGCACATCATTTTTCAAGTTTCTTTAATCATTCAATGAAACCATGCTGAAAACACCAATTCTCAATTATTCTATAAGCATCATCAAGTTCAGTCAGTACTTAGATGGGGGACTACTTGGGAATGCAGGGTACTGTAAACAACCTCCTACAATCTGAAATATATTTTGGCTTTAAATAACCCACAAAGGGTTAATAAGCCATAAAAAATCAATCAACTTTAACCTTTCAAAATTTTGATGTTGCATCATTGCCTTTGAACTGCTACCATTTCCAAATCATTTGACATTTTTTCCTCTTTTTAACATTAGTAATAAGTTAAACAAGATCTGGTAAATAAGGCAGATGGTCTATGTACTCAAGCTGAAGGATACCTTACCCTTTTCCTTCTTTCAAAACCTTCTTTAATTGACACAGCAAGTTAGAGTAATGGTTTTTTATGGCTTATCAACCTGTTGCAGATTATTTAAAGTCAGAAGTATTTTTAGATTGTAAGAATGTTATAGAGATAATAATGATTTTATTTATACAAGTCCTACAAATTAACCAACAGCTGGGGCAGGAGGGGTAGAGAAGAAGTGGATTCATACCTTTCACAATGGTGTTTTTACATTAGTAAATATAACGAACCTAACTGTAATTGGAACTCAGTTCTCCAATTTCCAACTTGAAGCTGTTATCCATTTCACCACATGCACATCTAGCATTACAGCTCCTGATATGCCAAAGTGGTGACCTATCAAGGTACTGACCAGGATCAATGTTGCTTAACTTCAGTGATCATAAAAGAACCAGTGTTTCACCCTAATATGGCAGTAAGTCTGCTCCTTCTGAAGTGAGTGAGTTATTAAAACACTATCTTAAAAACACCATAGCCATGACCTTTGCTGCTGACATTTGGGTCTTAAATTTCTTTGTTCTTGGAGAACTCAAATAGATAGTTGTTTGATCACTGGATCTTAATGGTGGAATCATGTTTCATCATCAGTAACAAGTTGTTCCAGAAACATTGCCTATAGATTGCTGGAAATACTGTAACTCAGAGGTATCCACCCAATATTATTTTGGGTGGCATTCAAACATGCGTACTCAGCTGTTCATTAAGTATAAGCCCAATCTGAGAATACAACACCTGATAGAATTTTGTCACTCAGCTGTTTATAAGGTTAAAACATGACCTTAAAAAAAAAAATAGATAAATAATGGTGTCATGTAAAAAGCACTCACCTTGGAAACTGAGATATCAAAGTTGGAGATAATTGCTTGTAAATTATATGGATACAAACGAGCAAACCAATAAATGGCAAATACAATGCCAATTCCAATGTAGGTTCCATAGAATCTGCTAGCATTTAGTGGATCCGGAAAGAAATGGAAAATTACCACTGCTACCATAAGACAAAACATTACAGTCTACATAAAAAAATAAAATGTAGAAATTTGTCAGTACAAAAACAAAACTAAGAGCTTTGAAATTCATCAAAATAATTTGTTCTTAGAGTGTTTAATATGGTAATTTAAATTTTATGACAATGCTAGTTACCTTTCTTAGACTTCATCCAATAAATTATTTCTTTGGAGATTTATGAAACATAATGCACTTTTGTTATATAAAGACTGTGATTGCTTTTTCTCAATCTTTTGAAAGAACTACTTAGAAAAAAAACTGATTGTGGACTTTTTATGAAAGTTCAAAATTTATTGCACTAATCTAAGTAAATCTAACCAAATCTTCTGATATTTTAATTGCAAGAAAACAGCATAAAGTTAACAGTAAAAAAAAGAATTGTTGTCTACTTAATGCAGGTTTTTTACTTTTTTTAATGTTAATTTTTGTCATCCATAATTAACTTCAATTACGCCATGATTGATACCTGCTAAAAGAAAAATATTCCAAAAATAAAGTAGCCTTTATAGAGATATAAGATTCAATGAAAATTAGTTGATTTAATGATAACTGGATGTAGAAAAAAATACTCTTTACTTAAAATATACTGAAAAATACATTTGTTTACAGTAGGTGTCTTATCTGTAAACTAAATTCAAAAGCTAATTGGGTATTCAGTCACCTTTCCTTACTCAATGGTCATAAAAGCTCACTTAAATTTTTCTCATGAGAGAACTAAAATATGGATGGCCAAAACTAGATTTGTAGTCACAATGGCAAAAGCATATTTCAGATATTAAAATACCATCATACTACAGGCAACACTCCAGTATCATCCTATAAAAAAACTGGTAGTTACAGATTCTGTAGACCCCAAAGAATGATAATCAAAAATGCTTGTTTCAATGTTACTGGAAAGTTAAAAAATGCTACAGACACCTAAAGAAGGTTAGAAAGTATTGTAATAATGATATTAGAAATGAGGAAACATGCCTGAATGCATAATACTAACACTGGTTCATGAGAGAAATTCAGATAAAGTTTATCAGTATAACATCATTCATTTTTAGGGTATAACTAATAAGTTGGATGATTCAATTACCGGCTTTAAACTGGATAAATTTTAATAAGTATATTACTCATCAACTATATTTTAAAATAAGAGAAATTTAATTATGACTAAATTCAATGTTTCATGGGTTAAAATTTAACATAATTAACAAAAATTGCAAATTGTTCATGGCTAAAGTGAGCAGTACTTATGAAAAGCTGACTTACAGACATGAGTTCATCTTTGTCTGGTAAATCCAAGTTCTGTTTTGCCTGTTGAGTAGATAAAAAAAAAAAAAAATGATGAAACAGTATAACACAGTATTCCTATTTGCTTTATAAAAGGATTTTTCACTAATTATTTCTTTTGAGTACACTACAATCAGCCAAGATTAACTTTTATGTTTTACCATTCAATATTCCATTTAGTCACCGCTTTTCAGAAGTACAAAAAAGATTTTGATGTAGGTCTGTACAAAAATGTAGATAAAAAAATGTATGTAAAAAAAAATGTGTGTACTTGGACTCAGTGGAAATGGGATGAGCAATAACTGAGCAGTACTAAAAATAAGAACTAAATGAGAAATGAGCAATGTAATGAAAATAATCTACCCCTATAGATTAAATAAAGGGTTCAGTTCAAAATTCTCTGTAGGTTACCTGGATCGACATGCACCTGATGAAAGCCAGAATGTTGTGATAACAACAACAACAATGAAGAGAATAGACTGCATGTAAATAAAAAATAGGTATCAATAAATCTGCAGTCTAAAGATGAAAAAAAAAGCATTTATTTTATGCATTTTTCAACTCCTTGTTGATGTATTGAACATTTCTTCATTAATGATATTGATTGAACATTATACAGTTAGATTTCAGATTAAAGTTCAGTAAATAATTCAAAGGTTCATCATTGTTTTTTTCTGCCTCCAAATTGGTTTATGCATATTTTTTGTTTTAGTGTATCTGATAAATTATTTGCAAGTCCCCAAACAGCAAAGGCTGTAAAATCACACGTCATCAGAAACAGCTATCAAGTCACACAAAAATAACGCTCTCAACCTTCAATTAAAAAATAACCCTCTCAAAAGCAAGAGCTTATATGTTCAAGAAATCCATGATTGATTCAACAAATGTTTACCTAAGTTGATAAGTTTGAAACAAGGTCTGGGTTTCTTTAACAATTTTGGACAGATAATACACTGTAGAAGATTTAAATGAAATCCTTCTCCTAGTGGTCAGAAGACACAGGTGAATTATCATGCTTGGCACACTAGAGAATCAGTCGAAGTTTTAGATATGGTAGAGGTCAGACATGTCTTGATCAATGTGAAGAAGCAGTGAATAATTAAAACTATCCAATAACAAAGAAAAAATATTAAGTATTGATCCACGGCCTCACCTTGCTTTAAAGCTAGCTATTTTCTCTAAATATATAAACCACATCATACTGTATTCATGTTATTAAATATTCACCTGTAAAGCTATGGTAAATATCGTAAACTTTGTTCCCAGCAAAATGAAGAAGCATTCTCTTTATCCTTTTATTCTTCTCTATGTATAAAGCACATAGCAGGTTCTGAAATTTTTCCACCCATTTGCGCCACCTCATACTTGTGGCGTGTTCATCATTGTACACTGCAAATGGTAGAAATATGGGGAGGTTGTGCGGTACAGCATACTCGGATTAAAAGGAGAATTTATTACAGGATACCCTACCCACAAAATACAACGCAAATTTCAAAAAAAGACAACACGATAAGGAATGTTTGTAGAAAATAGAACATTGTATATTTAATGTCATTCATGCAGAATAAACAAATTTGTATATTTTTATATCTTGTTGAATAGAGTAAAAAAGATTAATGCTTTAGTTCGTTTAAGCAAATGTGATTTGAACAAAAAATGTCTATGTGTTCGCTGTCTTTCAACAGAGTAGTAGAGTAATGTCTGTTTCTTTTGTTTTTGTGTATCTGCTGAGTAGGTGGAAAGGAAAAAGGGGCGATCAATTCAAGTTGAAAAAGAGAGTGTGAATGAGAAATAAAAGATAAGAGGAAAATGTACTTATCGGGTTGAATTGTTTTGGAGTCAGTTGTAAATTTGTTGTTGTTGTTGTTTTCCTTTCCTACCCCACTTTCTGCTCTTAGTGTCGGGTTGAGTCAGTGACGAACCTGACTGTCAGTCTTCTGTCCTCTATGACCTCTGCGCCCTTCTGACTGGTGATTGACTTGAGCCTCTCTATTTATAGCTGACTTTTTTTTTTCACACTGGATCGTTATCTTTTTTTTTAGTCTAGCAAATCGCCTCCTTTCATTGGTCAGAAAATTAATTTCACACCTTATTGCGAAATCTGTTTTTAGTCGTTTTGATCCAATTTTGTGGGTGTGCAAATCTACTTTGTGTTTTTCAGTTATTTGTTGGAATGATATAGGATTTTAATCCATAAGGTTTACCATTCTGTTAAATTCCTTTTTGTGTTTTTGCAATAAAACTAGTCCTTGTTTGAGAAGCTCTTGTTATTCACATCACCAAAATGTTGTGTCTTATAGTTTTTGAAAGATGTACTCGGTAGAGGCCTGTTATGGATGCTGAACAAAAACACGGAGATCAGTTAAAGGCTTCTAGCATGCATGAGGGGGCTGTCTGAAATCTGCTGATTCATACAATCCACATCTGTGCTATCTTTATTAGAAAGGAACCTTCAGTAGTCAATGATGTCATTATATCATAATCCTGTTGTGTTTTTTTATATTTGTTCATGTTAATAAAATGGTAAATGTTAATGTGCACACCTCTTTATTTCTCTTGATACCTCAAATTTATATGTTTAGGAGTTCTTTGAGATATGGAACTGTTATTTCAATAACAACCCAACAACACAATATGCAGTTGTCCTGTCGGACAAGGTAAAATAAACAATTAAAAGTAAAAAAATGATTTTCAAGTTGTGAGAGCCTGCCTGTCTTGGAAATCAGTTCCTGTCTTTTTGGTGGAGGATAACCAAAAGAACTGACTGGTTTTCAACATTTAACAATATCAAGAGTATTTTAACTAATTTTATTAAAAAAGATCACTTTTGATTGCATTATGGAATCTGTCATGTAAATCTTTTTGTTTATTGATTTTAATACTGAAGACTGAAAAAAAAAAAAACAAATGTCGAAAGAAGTTAAGATACTGTCACCATAACAGAAGGGAAATCAAATATTTTCAGTTTTTTTTTACTAATCATTTCACCCCAGGCAAAGCAATAAAGCCACTAATATGCAAGGGGTTACTGAGCATGAAAGAATACGAGCAAAAGAAAACATTATTAAGGAAAGAGAACAATAAAAGAATAGCAATTGAGAAGACAGAAGATAACAATTGACAATGTGTTTAAATTTTTGAAGATCAAAGTTGACTTGAAATTAAGAAGTTAGAAGAGAGTCTCACAATTAAAAATACAAGAGAAGAAACTGTTAACATAGGACTTACAGATATAGATAACCATTTCAACTCGTGAAATGATGAGACCTTGCCAGAAATCTGGTACTGCAATTAAATTCATAAAATTTATGTACGAAAGAGCAATTACCATTTCCTTAGAACAATTACCATGAAAATATTTCTTGAAAAGGCCAGGGAAGCTACATTATGATGGTGGAAAAGTGACTTAAAAATTCTGAAATCGAAAATTTCACTCATTCTTATTTTGAAGTAAGGCTAATATTAATAGTCTTAGATTGACTGATTTGTTTTTTTTATGGCTTTTCAACCTTTTGCAGGATATTTAAAGCCAGAAAATATTTTTAGATTGTAAGAATTTTTGGGAGATAATAATGATTTACTGATATGTCCTAATAATTAACCCATAACTAGGGGAGTAAGAGGTGGATTCATACCTTTCCCAAGGGTGTTCATAAGTGAATATAACAAACCCAACTGGAACTCGGCTCTCCAATTTGGAGCCATTATTCATTACATCCTTGCACATCCAAGCCTAGTGCACCTAGTATTCCCAAGTAGACACCCATCTAGGTGCTGCCAGGTTCAATGTTGCTTAACTTCGGTGATCATATGAGAACCAGGTGTTTCAATGTGATATGGCCATAAACCAATAATCTTAGAATAAGAGGAATAAAGAAGCATATCTAGACAGAGACAATTTTATAATGCAAAGGTGTAACAACATGACCATTATAGCAAAAAAATTAGGAATAGCATAGTAGGCTATACTGAACAAATAAAACCCCAAGAAGATTATGAAGAGGAGAAAGATGAAGCACTTTTCATAGTCATTCCCACTTATGATTTCTCAGACCAACAAAGTAAAATGCCCATACAGAATTACAAATTAATAGATGCTTGCAGATGACCAACAGAACAAAGAAGATTTGACAAAGATATAACAATGGAGGAAGAATCCTCTGAGTACAAGATAGGACAAGAAATCTTGAGATCTCCAGATGAGAGGGAAGAAAGAAAATACCAAAAACGAAACAATGTATAGAAAAAGCACAAGATTTATAAGGAGTAAAAAACCCTGATGTTTCCAGGAGACATAGGGATATACAGGTCAGTGCCATTAAGCCATGCACCAATAAACCATGATGTCGCTTAAGCTGCATCAAATTTTTTGTCATGTTCATATCAGAATCAGAATCATCAGTGGATCCCAGTTTGAAACAAATTCAAATTTGATTGTGGCACATTTTAAAGTCTGATTTTTTTTGTATAATCTTTTATTTTAATAAATTCATTAAATTGAGTTTTAATACCTTCAGTATATCTGTATTTTCCCAGGCATTTACTATTGTTTAGGCTTTAACATTTCACACACGATTGTATAGTGGTTTTGATTAGCACTTTGCGGACATTTTGAGTGTGAAATATGCAGCTTACAACCTTTATCCTAACTTAATAATTTCACATATTTACTCAACAGGATTTGCTTTAATAGTGATAATGTGCTTTTCCAAATAATTTATATAATCTGCACAAAAGAGCCATTTTAAATCCTAAATTTTAAGGATTATTAATGGAGGCTGCCACTGCAGTCAAATAACATCTTTCAATGCTTTCAAAAGTTTCAAAAAGTCTATAAATCCTCTCATGTTAAATTTTTATATAAATACAGGCAAAAATTAAAGTTTTGCACAGTGTCTTTCTAGATATCATAATGATCACAACATTTTTATACTTGAGACATTAACCCATTCTCATGAAATGTAAACAAGTGTTCAACAAAAGCTAAACCTGTCTTTGTACATAGATATTACTACATTATATCGTTATATTATTTTTATTAATACATTAAAATACAATGTAATGTTTTTATTAAAAATCTTAATTCTTGTTAAAATCTCGTGTGTACAAGATTTCCACCATCTTTTGCTGTCATCGATGATGGATCTACTAACATGGTGCTTTATAATTGGAATCATTTTAGGCCATCGTCTTTCAAATTTATTCACATTGGTGCAGATTATTATGTGAAATTAAAGGATGGTTTTAATAAATGTTTTTCAAAACTGCCAATATTCAACTCTTAGTATTGAATATGCATTTTGCATGCTTAGCCACTGTGTTAACCATTTTCGCAGATAACTTCATGGACTTGACAAGCTTTGTTTTGGTTATCTAAGCTGGCAGTCCTGACATTGCAGCTCACTTTTGATCTAAACCACGGACAGAAGTTGTGGACCTCAACTACTGTGGTTTATCAGCACCAACCTCTATTTGTATATGAGAGATTGCCTGATTTACATGTTTGAAGGAGGACAAAATATAAAAAGAATAGTAATCAATGTCACATTCGTGAGTGTGTAGTGATAGCAATAAATAAATCATTAAATAACCTTAAACTATGTAGAAGTATGAAATCAAAATAGTAAATAATTAATAATAAAAGAAAAATTAAAAGTTAAGTAATAAAATGACTTTAGATTATAATGATAATTAACAATGAATAAATAATAAGTGAGATCATAAAAAAATAGTTAAATAGGAAAACTTCAATCATCCACCAGGACAGGCATTTTTTGCCATCAATTGAAACAGAAATCAAATTTTCTCTCTCTACATCTTTGATAGCCAAACAAAGCAGATGTCCAGGGACAGCACTCTGATAGCCCATGTTGCTACCTAATTAGAGAAGCAAAATTTTTTTATCTCTGTATACATATATAAATATATTCTTTAAAATATACAATTTTCTCTAAAATGTATACAAAAGCCTTTTATCATTTTTGTTTATGCTTATTGCATTGTATCTTGCATATGATTTATTTGTAATTTATATATTTCTGTTGTGGGGCTGATGATGTCTTTTTAACCCCCACCCCCCAAAAAATTTACACACACACATATATATATATAAGCAGTACATTCAGACAAGGTCAATGTATCATCAATGCAACCTCACAACAGGTATACTAAGTGACTTGCGAATATCACTGATACAATTTTGTCTAAGACTTTTATAATATGTTATCACATCACAACCGACAGTCTTAGACATTTATGATTTTATAACTTTACAGATACTGAATGAGGATTGTTTTACTAAATTATAAAGAATTAAGCATTTAAAGCTAAGTTTAGGATACTCATCTGATAAGATAAAAGCTTTTGTGAATATAACATTTTTGTTGGAGGAAAGACCTTGCAAATTTATCCATTTTTAAGTTTCTAAATATTTAGATATATAAAAAAAAAATCTCACTTGTAAAATGATACTGCAACTCCTGTATGTGAAAAATACCATCATTTGAGAAACCAAAGATACTTCTCCATAAGTAAAAGTTTTGGGTAAAAAGAAAATAAGGCCTTGTAGAGTATAGAGATGACCAAAGACCATTAGAACCAGGCTTGTAGATGCTGGGAAGTCTGTCAAAAGAAAAAGGATAATAAAATAAAACAATACGCTGTATGAAAAATAATTAAAATGCAAACTAAGCAGTTTCTTTAGTATCTGTAATATAGATTTAAATTCTACCTTTCAGTTATAATCAGAAATTATTTGAGCTAATGTCACAAAGAAAATAAGTCATATTTTAGATGAGTTCTGTCTAAGAACCAGAGGTGTTGATTTATTTTTATTTAAAAAAAAAAAAAAAAAAAAAAAAAAGTGAATTTAAAAAAAATTTATCCATAAAGGCGGCAAAAGAAAGAGCAAAGCTGATACAAATAACTTGAAAAATTAAAACAGAGTGTAGGATAATTTAGGGTTGTCAAATTAACAATTTTTAGTTATATCTGGCTGACTTTTTCTCAATTTATTTGATAAAAATCTACAGTTAATTTTACCATTTTTTAAGGTTTTGGGTACATTTACATTCAACTTAGAGTCTTGTTTATGTTGGGATTTTTTTTTTCAGATAAGCTCATACAACTATTTTATTCTTACGGCATTTTAAAATAACTTAACAGATTGACAGTGATCATCAGCTATATGTAATAACAACTCAGTGGTGAGATAAGATTTAAGAAAGCTTTATTGAGCTTGAATGGGGAGGTATGGCTAGATCGCTTATTTATAGTATCTAAGTGAGGGAGAGATCTTCTTTCAGGGGAGATAATCGCCACCATAAGAGGTAACTCCAGTTGGGCTATACCACATCCTCCCCCACGTTATTCCTAATAATAGGGGATGAATTTGCACAACCAAACAGGTGTTCTGTAGGTCTTGTTAGAGTGTCTGGGCAACTCATTGTTTTGGGTGCTTTGTCCAGTTTGTAGACACCTGTATTCTCCTGTGTAAGTCCGAATTCGAGAATGGAATTTTCTGTATGGAAGGTTTAATTACCTTTGTACCAATTCTTATTTTAAAATTATTCCTTGCCAAAATATGAGTTTATTTAAAACCAAAAACCAAAAAAAACTTTGATATTATTGTGATTAACGTACAAATATAAAGAATGACAATATCTTACCAATTCCAACATGAAAACTCATGAAGAACACAAGAGGAATCTCTAGTAAACCTGCTATTGCACTAAATTTAATGCATATTTTCTGTATGTCTTTAGCTTGAGACCACCAAAGGATACCAGCAAGAAATAGTGGTTGCACAAGAAGTAGTCCTGCTTGCAATATCAACATTGTAGCAGTTGTGTCAAGCACTGAAAAAAAATGTTAAGATTATCCATTCACAATGTCTCACAAGTAAAAATCAATAAAATTTGAATAAGTATTGGAAATATTGTACAGTTGTAGTGATGGGCAGTGTTTAATAAATAGAGTAGGAGTGTTTCTTAAGTCTCCTAAGGTGATGCCTACTTGTCATCCCCTTGACACCTCATTAATACTGGCATTCTTAATGACAGGTTAATTAACTTTGTTTTTGAAACAAGATACTTGGATAAGTGAAACAAAAGATCGAAGACCCAGTAAAAAATGAGGGACAATCCTATATGCACTCAACATATTTCCTGACCACATACCAGTCTCAATAGAAACCCTGAAAAAGAAGGCTTCAAGGTCAGTTCTCTCTACTCTTTTGCCAGAAAATGAGATACTCCTCTAACCACCAAAGATCTAATCAGGATGACTGCCTGCTACAGAGAAGGAGGGGTATTGAGAGCAAGAGATCTTTGTTCCAATGTACCACAAGCTATGAACTCTGTCACAAAATAAAGATACAACTGGTATTAATAAAAAAATAAAATAAAACTTAAAAACAATGTTTACTCAATGTTCATTCATTTTTAATGTAAAAATCGACATACTGTGCCAACTTCCACATTGGGGTATTAATATTAATGAGGTGCCAAGGAGACAACACCCCTCAGGGGACTTAAGAAACATACATACTTTATCTTATTTATTAAACCCTGCCCACCACTATGCATTTAATTTAGGCTAACACCCAAGATGAGTATTAGAATCCTTTTGTAATAGTGAACTTTCTTGTAATATATGATTTTGAAAAGACTATAAGACAATAAACTTTGGCCAGTAATAAAATTAAGTACAAACTAAGGAATAAAACAATCATCATGAAACAATACTGAAATTCAAACTAAGAATCAATTAGGAGCTGACTAGTATAACTTCTTTGTAAAAATAATATGAGGTACAGACTTATCTTTCAGGAATATTGTTAATTTGATAGATGATTCTACACTTAAAACATAAGCCATGTGTTTAGCAAGATGTTTATAAGAAATTATGCCAATTTTGGATGAAGCCAAATTCATGAGGAAATTCATTTCTCTTGTTGGGTTATTACTGGATAATGGCTCCATACCTCAAGAAGCAACCAAAAACATGAATTCAAGATACCAAGAAAAATTTTATAGATCTGTAAATATAGATATTAGATCTATGTAGACATACCTGATGAGGTGAGCAGAGAAAAGAGAGTAATAGGAAATAAAAGCATTGTCCAGAAGGCAGGTTTTGCACGAGGCCTGAAAGAGGAAAATAAAGTCAACTGTGAATTTCTGAGCTGAAGAATTATCAATTTAATACATTAATCAATTTGAATTCATCTTGGTAGTTATTCTGGCCACTGTAACCTCAACCTTCTTCAGATCAATTCTAAGAATTTCAAACTAAATCCTTTATTCGATATATTTTACACTTGTTCCACTGGACATGCTAAGGAATATTTTTTATTAGTTCTTTTTGTATCTGCAGTTTATTTCAACTCATTCTGACCTCCTAGCTATATGATAAGTCTCTTATCTATAATACCACACACCAAATTTCAGGTAGATCATGCGACCTGTCAGTTCAGAAGAACCTCCACATATCGATATCTTCTGTTAGTGTAAGTAACAAGATTGTATTCATTACTGATTTGCTAGGCCTGTCATGTAGCTTACAGTACCTGGTATTCCCCAGCAGCCAAGCATCTGAGTACTGACCAGGTTCAATATTGCTTAACCCTAATGATCAGACAGAAACTTGTTTCACTGTGATATGGCCATAAACTGTTCAATATATTAAACAGAACACTGATACTTGTGTTTTTTTTTTAATGGAGAAGGAAATACACTGGCAAAACTAGCAGCCAAAACAAAGAGCTATATATATATATATATATATATATATATATATATATATGTTGCTCTTGACACTTTTCCTGAAACTGCCATGCAGTAAAGATCATATTCATTGTCCCTCTGTTTGGCCAGAAACCACATTGGGACTCCAGGAGAACAATGGGGACAATGTACATGAGCAGATGGTTGAGGAGTACCCTGTCAAACACTTTCCCAAAAACTGAAAGAAGAGAGATCCCACAATAGTTGTCACACAAATTCTTAGGGCCCTTCTTGAACAGGGACACAAGTATTGCATCCCCCCAGTCTTGAGGAAACAGCCCTTTTTCCCAGATCTGCTGGAAGACAAGGTGCATCAGCCTGACCACAGTTTCACCACCCATTTGTAAAAACTCAGATTTTATTCCATCTTTACCTGGTGCTTTGCCAGTGTTAATTTTCTTAATGGTTGTTACAACATTAGCAAAGCCAGGGTTGAGTGTAAAGTTCCTCAATGAGAGGTGACTGAGGTAATGTATCAATGACTCCAAAGTCAGCCTCAGATCTACAATTTAGTAATTCACTGAAATGTTCATGTCAGTGCACTTTTACTTGGTCAGGATTTCATAGTAGGGTTTTCTTATCCTTGGAGCTGAAAGAAGCAAAAATTGATGATGGCGGTCCATAAACTGGAGAGAGGTTTTGAATCACATCTAGCAGCAGATGCCTGTACTTGATGGGCTTTTTCTTGCCACCATGCTTTCTTTGTGGCACATATTTTGCATTGCACACACGCTTTGCAGTTCTTAAAAGCTGTCTTAAGCTTCTTCTTTTCTGCACAACTCAGCAGTCTGTGCATAATTTTTTCTTCTCTTCTCGGAGACCACTTATAGGTTCTTGGTTATCTGCAAACCAGTCTTGGTGTTTCCTGCTAACAAATCAAACTGAATTTGCAGCTACTTCATACAGAGCCTTAGCAAAAATATTTGTAGGGTCAGGAGATTCCACCAGATCCATCAGATTAATTGCCTGTACAACAGATTGAAAATGTTCAAGCTTTTCCCCCACAGGCCATCTGGGATACATCAATTCTCTTGGGAACCTTTGGCTCACACTTCCTCATTTTCTTTTTTATCACCAAAGACACATTTGCTTGTAGTAGACAATGGTCTGTCCAGCATTCTGCACCGTGCGTACAATGTACTCCTTTTACATCACACATATCCCTGCACCTAATGACAACATAGTCAAGCATATGCCAATGTCTAGAGTGAGGGTGTTTTCATGTTGCCTTGGACTTGTCTGGCTGCCTAAATCATGTATTTGCATGAGCACGGTCAAACTCCTGGTATAGTTGTAGAAGGAATAGACAGTTGTAACATTTCCCCACACTTTGCTGACCTAGGGGCTTCCATGTAGCATGGTTGCATCTTACTCTTGCATTGAAATCACCCATGATTATAATCTTAGTAGCTTTGTGAATTTTTCTCAAAATCTTTCAAAGATCAGAGTAAAACCTGTCAATGTCAACCTAAGAGCTAGCAAGAATTGGTGCATACACTTATCAATGTTATGAAACAACAAGAGAGAAGTAAGAAGCACAGTGTCATAAGTCTATCAGAGACACCATGTGGTAACTCTGACATGTCAGACAGTAACTTGGATTTTATAGCAAAGCCAACTTCAGAGTCACAATGAACATTTTCTGGACAACCTTTGTAAAAGAGTTGGGTTCCTGTAAAGAGCCATCACTAGACAGTGACAGGCGACAATATCCAAAATTGTAATCAGACAATTTCTGACATATCAGAGCACTTCTCCACTCAGGGTGTGATGTGTCTGACAAATCAAGTAATGTTCTGATATTCCAGCATCCAATTTTCATATCTATTTGTCTAGTCCTAGTCTGTTTTCTGTTAGTGCCAATTAATTGATCATAATTTTGCCCGCAATAGTGAACAACCACCAGTTGTGATAAATTGGCAAGCTTTTTTAGGACCGTCTTTTCTAGGTCCCCTCTTGCAAGCAAGTTATTTATAAAAAAGGATGCTTAGTCAATTGAGGCCCTGCTGAGACATGCCATTGCCAAGGTTGACAATGATGACAATTATCTTCAAGCCACTATGTATGATGTTACTGCTACATACTTTCAGCTTGTTAAACTGTGGTTGTAAAGAAAAGAAAAGACTGTCAACTAGCAACAAACGTCTGCAATAGATTTCTTCTGTCTCTCGACCGCAACACTTGTATTCAAAACACAGTTCAAATGATAGCCCGTCGTAACAGTCCAACAAGCAGCATAGAAATGACAAAATAGGGTCACATGTCCAACCTTCATTTCTCACCAGTAAAAACGCATGTTTGTCTCCTGAGCTCAGAAAATCTCCTGCCTTTATAAGTGAAGAACAACGGCTTGTGTTCACTGAGAGATCTTTCTGATTGGTCACGCCATTCAGGGGAGGGAAGAAAATTAGGATAGATTCTGGTCCTTAAAGTAGATTTTTTTTTTTTGCTGACTACTTTTTGGTAAATTTTCTTCAGCAGATTGCACACAAAAGACAAACTCTTTTTCGAGGTAGCTGATTATCTCTTTCACTACACAAACCTGTATGCATCACAGTACATTCATTGCTGTAGGACTGACAGTGCTGTCGTCCAAAAAGTAGTTCCATAGTTCAAGAAGATCCTGTGTGTGAATTTGATTATAGTGGATGAAGCTTGCACAGCACTTCACCCACTTTTTGGAAGACAAAAGGTTATACCAGTGGCAAAACAGAGTTAAGATGACCAGCAACTTAGTCAACCTTAAGTTTAATGTCAGAGTGTCCTTTCCAAGAAAAGTGTTCTAACAAGAAGTGAGGGATTTTCATCTCCAGTGGTTGAAACACATGTCTGGACACTAAACCAGAAATTTCCATGTCCCCATGCAGCTATTTGCCCATAGCTGGAACCCTAAAAGGTGTTACCAGCCCGTGTCAAGGTGGACATGGGAACAACAGCAATTAAGAGGTGGTCCCATGCTTTTCAAAACCTCCTGATAAGAGGCCTTGCTTCCGGATGTAGTTTATTGTCATACCCAGGACAATATATATATATATATATATATATATATATATATATATATATATATGTAAATGTGCGAAAATATATAGAAAATAGGAAAGAACTCGTTAGGTAAATAATCCAAAGTTCTTTAGTATTTTTTTTTAAAAAAAACAGTGCTTGATACAAAAGTAGAGCCTAAATATAATTTTGAAACATGAGAACTCTTATGTAATGATGGAATCATATTTTTAAATAAATAATTATATATATATATATATATATATATATATATATTTGGGCAGCAGATTATTATTCAAACATACATTGTTAAATATAACAGACAATGAATGTCTATTATGTCTGATCATGAGCCATTCTACTATTCATATGTTTGCTTTAATTTTGGGTGAAAATAAAGACAAAAATTGTCCAACATTCGGATATCTTTTTATTAAGTTGGTCCTTGATCTAAGCTTTTGGCTCACATGAACCATCTTCAGAGTGGTTATACAGACATTTTAACAAAGATATTCACCATCAAAGATGATATTTTGCTATGTTGACATAGTAGATTGCTATGTGACTATAATGTTGGGAAATTTTTCTTTATTTTCACCCAAAATTAAATCAAACATATGAACATTAGAACAGCTCATTATCAAACATAATAGACATTCATTGTCTGTTATATTTAACACTGTGTGTTTTTTTATATATATATATATATATATATATATATATATAGTATAATCGCTTAGCATAGTTGCTGTTGGGCGTTGAACAAACACAAATGGGCCTGAGCAGGAGTCTGCAACAGGGATTGGCTAGCCACCCTAGTAGAATGTGGACACCTAGATAGTTATGTAGGCGTTACAAGTGATGAGATACACCCTGTATATATGGAATTGAGTATCAAAAATATTTTTACAAACTTTGGCAGCAGATTCCTCACACCTGAACAAGGACAAAAGTCCATATAAACATATGTTTACAATTACTTCATTTTTGAGTTTATAGTTTATGGTAGACACAGTTAAATGTACAATCCAAGATACAATCCAAAAATAATTTTACAAACTTTGGTTCCTGACACCAAAACAAGGTAAAAATATTCACATAAACATATGTCCAAAAGGTCATCATTATTCATCAACACTGCAACTAATAACAAACGTTCAAAATGTCCTCCGCTTGCTTCTACACATGCATGCACTTGTTGGATCACTAACTAGCGGACCCTTTCTAATACTCCTACATGGCGTCGAATGGTTTTGCAGACCCCCATGAAACATGGATGAAGCATCTCTGCATTATTAATGTCTACTACATAAACTAATTGTTTTAGGTGGCCTCACAGATAAAAATCCAAAGGATTGATATTGGGGGAATTTGAAGGCTATGGAACTGGTCCTTCTCTACCTCTCCATCTGTCATGGTAGATGGCAGCCAGTGCATTGCAAACAATGTGACTAAAATGTACTGGAGCCCCATCATGCATGGACCACATGCGTCTTTGTATTAGCAGGAGTACATCCTCTAAAAGTTCTGGAAGTGTGGTCAAAATAAATTCCCTGTAGATAGCTTCTGTAAGAATTGCTGGGAGAACCTACCAGACAGTCACCTACAATTCCAGTCCGCATATTAATTGCAAACTGATGATGGTGTCTTGCCTGTATTGTACCCTGGGTATTCTGATCTGCCCACAAATGTTGGTTGTGTAAATTTGTTATTCTATCTCCTCTGTACACAAGACTGAAGAGACAACGGATCAGCAGTTTGTGCAATAAATCATCAGAAAAAGTTCTCCTGTGGTGAGTGATCAGAGGGTGAAAGAACCTACACACGTTTCAAATGATACGAATAAAGGAGCTACTCTTGAAGTACTTTACTATGACATGTACAGCATGCTAGGGCAACTTGACATGTGCTGATACCTGGATCATCTCTGACAGCCTATAGAATATGTTCTTTATGGTCAGGAGTATGAGTAGATTTCAGTCTTCCTTTATCAATAGCTTGTGGTGCCATGGATCCTATCTCAGCAACACAATAAAAAGCAGTAAAGGTTGATGACATGGCTGCCTTTGGTCTGGAAATGCAATCTGATACAGCCATGCATTTTTGTGTTCATTACCATTCACATGGGCAGATGCAAAAATCATATCTACCTGGTTATGATATGAATATCCTGCCATTGTTAAAGGAACACTTCTCAGTTAACTCATTACTGCACATGTTAAACATTGAAGACAAACTAGCCACAAATGTACACGAATGACAAATGTAATTTAGTCTACATGGCAACAGAGTGCCATCTACCATAAACTTTTTTTAAACTTAATAACTCAAATACAAAGGATTTGTAAACATATGTTTATATGGATTTTTGTTGTTGTTTTGGTGTGAGGAACCTGCCCCCAAAGTTTGTAAAAGTATTTTTGATAGACTATATATATATATATATATATATATATATATATATATATATATATGAGAGAGAGAGAGAGAGAGTGATCATTGGGATATTTGCAATAATGATGAAATTAAAATAAAAAACATGTACATGTGTAAATATGTGTATAAGTTAGTATGTATATGTGTATATCCCAATCACAAGTCCCTAAGTCATTAGGTTCATAAGACCACCACATGTACTACAGCCCATAGCAGCAGTGGTGCGTCTTGGACAAGATAGCCTGATGAAACCAAAGTGTCTTCATTCTGGTTTGAATTCAGAATTTTTCTTCTGCTAGACTGGTTGCCAACCAAAGCTATAGGGCCCTAGTCTGTTCTGATATTTACCCACAGTTGCAGGGGGAGTGGGTGAGTGATGGATTCATACCTTCCCCAGGGGTATTTGAATGTTAGTGAATACAACAAAGTCAACTGGAATTCAAACTTAGCTCTCCAATTTCTCATTCTGAGCCACTATACACCTGCACATCCAAATACATGTATATAGTCATATTAAATATAGATATGAAAAAAAAAAAATGAATGGTTCTAAATTTATATTCCATTACTTTTAAATGAAACTCTAATGTAGTAAGAATAACGTTTTTTAAGAACAAAGATAAAGACAATATAAAATAATATATTGAATAATGAAAACTATTCATTTAAAGTGAGAAAAATATAAGAAACATTTAAATGAGAAAAATGTGTTAGAAATCATTTGAATGAATCAAAGCTACAATTTTGAACTGTTATTGTATAAACTATAAATTAATGTCTGCCTATATTTCTGAGATGAGGTATTGTAACTATTTATACTATTTACATCGTTCAGACTGTTGTCCTCATTTTTACTGCCATATTCATGAAGTTTTGGCCATTGTACGCTACAGCCTTCTTCAGGTGACATACATTGGAATTTTGAACTGAAGCCTTTTAGTCCATGGGAGTAGATTGTTCTAATTCCTCCTCTAACCACCAAAGTTAATGATATTTTTTTTAACTACTTAGAAAAATTGACTTACCTGAAAAATGTTCTATTGGTGAAATGCTTGTTTTGCTGCCATGACAACTCAAAATACAGGCAAAGACAAAAGGTCATCCATAAAACAACTGAAATAAATGAAAAACCTTTTTTTTTAAAAATATGATTAGAGATTTGTCATTACAAAACAGATTGTTTTTTAAGGATAATTTTTCTTACAAAAAGACTTACAATCAACAGACTTTCTAGTTACTATAATTTTTTTAAAATGTTCTCTTTCAGTTACAACTGAAATCTACCCATAGGCATACAAGGTGGAGGGAAAAATGGATTGTAAATTTTCAGGGCAAAACCTGGATATTTTCAGAGCAACTTAAAAAATATTTAGGGCAAATTCCTTTTGCCTCCTATTATATTTCCTCCTGTACACATATAAATATACCATAAGGTTTTCTTCAATGTTTTTCACCCAACAAATCTACACCTCCATTTTCTTTGAGTTTATAAAAACCAAATATATTTCAAATAAAGAAATAAATATCAGAGAACACACTGTTGCCATGTAAATGCATTACCGGCTTTTAAAATTGGGGTTGTCAGATGTTCTCTTTATATATAGGAAAGGTCATGTATTTAATGATTTTTTCTCATATCCTGTTTGCATTGAAATGTTCTATATTTAAGTTCTTTGTAAAAAATAAATTGTTAAATACTTAGTTTAACAGAGATGTTATTAATATTTTTATGTTAGGTAAATGAATGAGAAAATAGAAAAAAATTCTATGCATTGCATTTTGTCCTTTAAATGGACTTCATAAGACTAAAATAATTTTCTTACGGATGTAATTATATCTAAGGGAGGTGCAGAATATAAATGAAGATGTTGGTTATAACTATGCACTGACAGGAAATGCTGAAGATGTGGGGATGATAAATTTTAAAATTTAAGATGTCTGGTGTCTGACATGTGTTAATGTAACAGCTCAGCTGATTTCATTGTTTTTCCCAACCCTTGTTTTAATTGCTGTTGCTTTTAGATATCCCACACTGACAACAGATTATTATTTTTTTAAGAAAGATGAAATATTTTAAGAACATAGATGCACATTTACCAGGGAAGATTCAGAAATCAGTGCACTTTCTATACCTTTTTGTTTTAGTAACAAAAAGGTATAGAAAGTGCACTGATTTCTTTCTCTTTTACTTAATAAATTAAAACATCAGTAAGATCATTATTTTAGTCTGATTAAGTCCTTTTAAATTACAAAAAAACATTATATAGTATGTTTTCCATTTTGTCATTCAATTTTTTTTTTAAGCAAATTGCTCCAAGCAAGGCGAGAGTGCCACTAGCACGCAAGGGGTTACAGAGATTGAGAGTAAGAGTAAAGAGGAGTGCTTAGGAAGATGATAAAGAGAAAAACAGGGATCAATAGGCATCAGATGTCGATTGACATTACATTTGAATATTATAGCTATCAGGGAAGCAAGTGATAGGAAGGGAATTCCACTGATGGGAAGTGCGAGATGAGAAGCTGTTGGAGTGGAAGAGACGGCTACATTTAGTCGTTTCAACGGTGAAAGGGTGGGACCGAGATGCCAAACTAGTGGCACGCTTAAATTCATGCCGTTTAGAAATTACCCAACATTCTTCTGATTTATAGAAATTTATAGAAAACGATATGGATGAGTTGGGGATGTCTCCATAATGAGAAGTAGAGTAGGCTTTGCTACTGGAGACTTAATTCCTTGTGACCCTGACCTGAAAAGACTTTTTAGAAATCCTCGATATACTGCTGTGCCGTAGGAGGCACATATTTGTTGTAGGGGAGTAGAGGAGACCACCACTGCTGGACTTGTGGCACGGTTGGCCACTTGTCAAAGGCATGTCCTGGCAGAAATCTTGCACCATAGCCCAAGACATCAATATTGGAGGGAGCAGTGAGGTCAGAGAAGATAAAGGATGGCCCAGACAGTCAGGAATGCAAGGAAGTGGCAAGGAAGGGAGCAAAGATTGTGTCCCCTCTTCCCACTCCACAACAGGATGTCCAAAACAAGGTGGAGCATCAACAAACACCAAAATATCACACTGTAACCAACACGGGTCCCATGGACATCGCATAACCAACATGGATCCCATAGACTTCACATAATCAACATAAATATACAAAGGCTTCAAGTAAACTTAAGATTATTATATCATTAAACAATAATTCAGTCTTTAATAATGTTGGTCAAACTGTCTGTTCTTCTTTAATTTCAACAAATTTAATAAGATTCTGGAACAAAATTTTGACTTTTTTATTTCTTAATGGCTTCTGTTGAGAAAACAAAAGAAATGCTGATTATTCCTTTCAAACTTTGCTTTTGTGACCTGAACAATACTCTGAGCTCCCTGTATCCACCCCTCCAAAGAGAGCAATTATCTTCAGAAGGGATCAGCAATTCAGAAGAGGATGAAGTCATTGATCCAGAGTACAGAGGCACAGCTGAAGAGAGAAACCCATACTACCCTAACCAAAGCCTCAATGACCCGATTGTGTTCATCCTATTTTTCTAAGTAAACTCCAACTCTGATGCAAAACTCCAAAGATCTTGGTCTTACAAAGTCCAATGCTGAGATTTCTATGTCGAAACTCAAGTAATGGAATTTGTTAAATGAAAGTGTGCAAGTCACAGGTCAGAGAAAGCATCACCAATGTTTTTCAAGCTTTTTCATCCATCAAGATGGGCTTTACTTCTGCTACAATGTGACCAGTCTGTTCAATTGGAATTGCCTGTAAACATAGCAAGTGGGGCCTCTTCATTGACAGCACATCTAGGAGCCTCAAATCCATGCTGCTTCATAATGGGGAACATGTATTCATCTCTTCTCTTTGCTTAATCTGTGCAGCTCAAAGAGGAATATAGCAGTATCAAGATCTTGCTAGATGTTTTGAGATATGATGAGTACAGTTGAGAGGTTATCGGAAACTTGAAAATGGTAACCTTCCTTATGGGTTTCCATGGCGGCTTTACCAAGTTTCCCATGTTATCTTGCCTTTGGAACAGCAGGAACACTGCAGCACACTACTACAGGCAAGACTGACCACAGCAGACAGAGTTCAGTGTAGGAAGGAACAACGTCAAATGGTAGTCATTTTTGGACCCCTGGAAAATATTGTCTCCCCCACTGAACTTAAAATTGGTCCTTATGAAACAATTTGCCACAGCTCTAGATAAGAAATCTGCGACCTTCAAGTATCTTCAAGACTTCTTCTTTAGCTGTCTGCAGTAAAAGTCAGAGCCAGTATCTTCATTGAACCACAAATAAAGAAGATCATAGAGTATAAGGAATTCCCCAAGAAGCTCACTAGCATGGAAAAGCTTTGTTTCAGTAGATTGGGGCTTCTTGGGGAATCACAAGGTCAAAACTATGTGAAGCTTGTTGAGATACTGGTGAAGAACTATGGCAAAATGTACTGCAGGATGTTCCTCAAAGTCTATGTCTTTGACGCACATCTTGGTAAATTCAAAGAAGGGAGGCATTCTCAGAGGAGCAAGGCAAACTCTTCCACCAGGATATACTGGATTTTAAACACCACTACCAAGGATTGTATAACAAAAACATGTTGGGAGACTATATTTGTGGGCTGATTCATGAAAGTAATTTACAGTATAAGCATAAATTGCAAAAATCTACTCACTTCTAAATTTTTTGTGGTTACTTATGTATTTCTAAAATGCTACTTTTGAATCATGCTGTTTTGTTCCTACTTTGCATGAATGAGAATGTTCACATTCACCAGCTTTCCTAATGGGAATAGGTCAATTTCAGAAATATCATTATCCTTGTCAAAAAAGTTTGAAGGAAATAATAGCTTATTTTATAGAAATAAAGTGTCACTGCTGACACTGGAGTTTGAACACTGATCACCAGAGAGCAAGCACAAGCAATCCCGTTTTAAATAAGTAGATCATGTGATGGTAAAGGAAATATATATATGGGAATTAACGTGGCGTCTAAGTGATCACTGTATGGATTACTATTTGGTGGTTACTTTCTAGCAAGTATTATTAGTGCAAGTGTTATTTGAGGGCATCTGACAGCGGTATTGTTCAACATCGTTACTATAGTTGTATCTGCGATTACAAAGTTTCTACTACAACAAGCACTACGAAAGTGACAATGAGTATTCGTTGACATTACAAAAGTGGCAATGTGTGTTTGTTGACATCACAAAATAGCTATTTTTCATACTACCTAGGTGTAATCAAATAAGAAATAACAGTTACTACCCAAAGACAAAAATTGTGTTACACAGTGTAATAGAAGCACATAGTATTTTTTTTTGGTGTTTCTTTTGTAACCAGGAGAAAAATATCACATCAGCATCACCACTTCGTTATGGATATAAACACTTTTGTTGAGAAGTTATAAGGTTTCTGTTATATTTGACCTTCTAACAATTTTGGTGGACTCATATAAATCCAAAGGAAAAATAAGACATGGTATTTGAACAGTGAAATATTAACAAATATATTGACAGGACATTTTACAAAAGAAAAGATGTGAAATGTAATGTGAAAAGTTCAAAGCAACCTTAAGTGTCTGTAGTTGATTACTCACATTTTACAGGAGTGAAAAGAATATGTCCTTTCACTATAAAAAGTCACTGAGAAAGAGATCAGGTCTTTCAAATCTCCTGCCACCTGTAAAATCGTCGGGGTGGGGGGCTATATTTCCAAAATCTCGCTGCAGTGAGATTTTATCATCGAGAGCAGTAATCCAACATTACCATCTTATTATCTTTACATTAAATGCAGCCTTTTCATCACCTGTGAATGTTTGCAGCACTTTCTTCTTCCAGAAACAGAAATTCTACAGCAGCTCTTTACTTTCTCCATGTGTCCAGAGAGGCAGGCATTTTGAAATAGGATTTTGGATAGGAAAACTTTTTCCTTTGGTTTTTCAGAAAAATTCTGATTAATGCTTTCAGATTAAATGAACATGCATTGCTTTTTTTTTTTTTTTTTTTATTAACTCTTGTGTTATAAAAATTATGAGCACATTTGATGAAATTAATGATTAAGTTTAAAAAAAAAAAAAAAAAAAAAAATGCCATTCCTTACTAACAATGCCTTTTTGATTTCACATCTAATCTTAAAATATTTTCACCTAATTATTAATTTTTGTTTTGTCCTTTATTGGAAAATATTAAATAAAGTAAATATTAAATACGAATAAAATAAGCAAATACAATTTAATTTTTAGAAAACTTACCTGCAAAAATGATGTAGAGGTAAAAGGAAAAAGAATATTCTAAGAATCCCAATGCATAGAGAATGTTGATGCCGATAATTCCAGCCTCGCACTTAGGTAGAAGCGCCATGGTTAGAAACTTCCATATACGGAACTCTATGGGAATCTTTAATTACAATTGGAATCAGCACATTTTTTTTCGTTCTGGAAGAAAATAACTCGATTTAAAACAAACATCAATTTCTAAAAAAAAATGTTAGCATCATTCTATTTTAAAGTTTTAAACAAAGTCGAGTGTCAGTGTTGTTATCAGTAAAAAAAAAATAATTCTAGCTAGCAGTTAAAAACAAAATTTAAAGAAAAAATAAAAATGAGTAGAAAAATGATGGGTTAAATTAGTTTCACTTTATTTTTTTGCGATGGTTTGATTCAAAAGCAATTTATAATCGCAGATTTCTAAACTTACTTTTCCACCAGAAAGTGAACCAATTTTCCAAAAATAAATAAAAAGAATGATTTTGATTTCCCTTTTAGTTTACTTTCTTCAAATTTTAGTTTTACTTTTTTAGTGATAGTAATTTCAATTAAAAAATTACTTCAAAGCAAAACAAATATAAAACAATTTACATTACAGTTAACTCCAAAAACTAAAAGATATTGTGAATAGAATTTATATTTTTTAGTTTTAGTAAGTTCAATTCACATTTATTTATTTCTATGCAATGCCAAAAACTGAAGCGTTGAGATTTTAACGTAAAACTTCATTTCACCACTGATCATGCACAAAAAAAAGTAATCTATGTGTATATTCGATTTCCTCTACTAAAATGTTAAATAAACAGAAAAGTAATTTCTGTTTAAATAATCGGCTTTTTAGAACTGAATGCATAGCATACATGTACAAAAAACAGCACGTCACCGGGAGAGTCAGTGCTAACGTGTCAAACTCAAAGTGAAACAGTACTTCAGTTTTTAAACTAAGAAGGTAAATAAAAGAAAAGTCTAACTTTGAATCTGATCAGACCAAGATAAAGTAAAAAGTCACTCACTCTCTCACACACACACTCTCTCTCTCTCTCTCTCATTAGTACTTTAGTGAACGAAAAAGTTAAAAGCGACTGGAAAATAAAAGGTAAACAGAAAATTGCCGAAGAGTACGTTCATCGAAGTTTTCTCAAACCATTTTAAAATAAAAAACAAGTCATATTCATTTATTGTAAGGTTGGGTTAGATTTATTTAGTTTTGAAATAAATAAACTGAGAGGGTGCCTCAGCATATGAAATGGTTCGTTAACGAGTTTGTGACTGTTTATCTACTTGTTACCACACACACACTTGTGACCTTGTGCCAACCTTGTATTACCCGGACTCCCCACTAAAGCATGATGTGACACAAGGTCGATTTTTTTTTATGTGGGGAGCGCATGCATATGAGCAAAGGACAAAATTTTTAGTAACCTGCAACAAGAATCAGAGAGAAAAAGAAAAGAGGGTCAGGTCAGTGGTTGATGATAACTAACATTGAGCATGAAGATGGTGAAGAGTTGCCACGCAGATACAGAGAGAAGATTTGGGGTTTAAATGTTTGCGCAAGGGTTGACATTTTTTAAATCTCTACCACCTACTATTTATTTAGTAATACAGTTTCTTTTCTTAAATTTTCAGTTCAAAGTTTATTTTCTCAAAGATTAAAATTTCTGAACAAGTTCGCATTGATTATTATTATTAAAATTACCATACTTGAAGTTTACAAGAAAGCATAGAAGAACAAATGTTTTCCTAAACCAGTTTAGGAAAAAAAAACAATGATTAAAAAATAAAGCCCAAATGATTGATTTCATAAAGTGACGAAAAAAATAAAACGTAGCAGAAAGGTGCGGGAGCAACAGAGGAGGAGAGAACATGCAATTATTTACGTCATCCTAAGCGAAAATTAAAAATAAATACATGAATAAAACTTGTTAATTGATTTTCCCGGTTTTTGTGAGAGTTTATGCAAGTTTAGAGTAATTTAAAGCAAAGAGAAACGTTATTGGCGGATGAAAATTCTGTTGTTTACACAAAGTGAAGTCTTCATTTTTAATTCGAGATTACTATGATCTTACGTCTGGTGTGTAATAAAATTAAAATAAATCAACTACAATACATGACAATGCCTGAAATGAACTCATTCATTACTCAACTATCGTGAGATACGGCAAACCGCAAAATTAATATCACCTTAAAACAGAAAATTGTTTCGGGTCATTAACACGATGAGCACGAATACGGAGACAGTAGACACGAAAGCATAATTGAGAAAGAACCGCTCTCATTTCACACTCACACTAAATAAAAAAAGAAGTTAACAGCAAAGGAAAATAAGTTCAAAGTTCATAATTTAAGCTGAGGACACTCAAACTCATTTTGTAAAGATTAAATAAAAATAAGAAAGCAGTGCTCCTCCAAGTTTACCTGTGCGTAAAAAGTCAAAGTAAAATAATAACCGTTTTATGCGATGCAAGGAATCAAATGAAATTCAGATATTATTATTGCTTTTTTTTCTATCTGCAAACATAAAAGATGAAAAGCAGAAAGCACAAGAGAAGGGATGAATTTGGCCAACTTTGTTCTGATTTAAGCAAAAACTGAGCCAAGGGAGATCAATCCGATTTACTATTAACCACGAAAAAATGGAAATATCTTTTACTGGATTAAAAGCTCTCGTTACGGGAGCCGGTAGAGGTATGTTTAATATATTTATTAGACGAAGAATTCATTAATTTATTTCATTTTAGTTTTAGCAAAACAACTTTTAAAACGTTAACTTAATTCTTGAGTTGAAACAAAATCTCTTGTGATATTGCGTTGTACTGATAAGTTTAAGTGGAATGCTTGCATAACTTCTAAAAGTTAGTACAATTCTACTCTAGTGATTGAATGAATTGAAAACGTTTGGTGACATTTCTTTAACATAAGTTCTCATTAAATAAAACATTAAATTGAGATGTGTTATTTATTTAGTTGAAACACTTCTTTTTTTTTTTTTTAAAAAAAAAAGGAACTAGCTAAGAAATGAATCCATAACAAAATCCACAATACATGCAAAAGCATGGCAATGATTTTTTAGTTGATGATATTTTTTTTTTAGAAACGAAAACAAAATTATTTTTATTCGATCCTTTCAAAGAAACTATTGCAGCACTTGCTCAACTTTATATATAAATTTGCTTCTTCAATAGATGCAAAAATAGGTTGGTAACAAACTAATCATAAAGTTTGTTTAGTCTCCTATCAAATATTTATTTTTAAAAAGTTCTCAGTTTACAAACTTTAACATGTTTGTTAGTTTTAAGTTGAATTGAAGGCATTTAAAACTAAAACAGAAACTTACCGTGTAAGAAACATTTGGGCTAAAATTTGTACATTATTCATGTATTTTATTTTGTAGAGGGGAATAAAGCATTTATTTTGGGGAGAAATCTCTGGTTTTAAAAAGGCAAGCATTTAGGTACCACCAAACAAACAAAATGCTTTTTTTTCTGATATGAAAGCAAAAAATCGTTTACTCCTTGTTTTAAAATATTTGCCAAAACTTAGGGAATTATCCGATTCAAACGAAATTTTCAATACTTATTCAAATTCATTAATTGATTGTAAAAATTAAATAGGTTATTTTAATTAGAAAAATTTTTGTGTTCTCTTTCTCTGTTTCACGGTTATCACCCCTTTTTCAATATCTCGTGTGTACTTTTTAATTTGGAGATGTTGGCGAAATGTTTTTAACAGTTTTTGTATAAAGAAAAATCCCTGGAGAAGTTTATGCAATATCAAGTGTGGACATACGCCGATGGAAAATTCGTTCAGAAACTTACATAATTCATTATTAAAGCTCAAAAAATTTTTTTATAATTCCTGCTTAATTTAATAAAAGAAAAAAAAAGTTTCATTGTTATAATTTGTGGAGAAAAAAATTATGCTTTTCATTATTATTACTCAATGATCTTGCTAATGTGACCTCCATCTTCTGGCTTTCTCCTTCTATATTTTGCATAGTCATTCCCATGTTCAAATTTAAATTTAATTTAAATCAAAAAAAATTCAGTTGGGGGTAACCCCCAGGGACCCCTTTTGGTCAAAATGAAATATACTTATCCAAGTACCCTAGGATTCATTCCCTTGTTCAAATTTAGATTTAATTTATATCAAAGGGGAACAAAAATTCAGTAGGGGGTTTGTATCCACCGGGTACTCCCTTTGATCAAAAGGAAATATACTTTTCCAAGTACCCTGAGTAATGTAATTTCAGAATATATATGGCTATGGGGTCTATCTCCCAAATCCTAGGAGTAGTTTGATAACAAACAGACAGACAGAGGCTACATAAAATAATATTGGCTATAAATAAGCCATGAATTTGAGCACATTTTCTTTGACTTATATGGTTAAGAAAATTATTTTTTCCTATTTTGTTAGTATATATTTTACACTGAATTAAAAAAACACATTATTAAGATGCACCAAAGAGAAACATCAGTGATGACTCCTTGTAGTTTCATATTTTTACACATTATACTTGCTCCACCAGTAACCTGATCTACTTCTGAAAATAACAGGCCCATGTGTTGATCATGAAACTATAAAAAGGCATATGCTCATTGTGACAATTAATTTAAACAGTTGTGCTGCATTAGGATCGTAAATATTCCTATTACAAATCTATTGAAACAAATGATGCATGTTCTTTATTACATAGCAAAATGAAAGTAAATCTTCATATTTCAACATAAACACCAGTGGCATCAATCAGTTTCCTCAAATGGCCAGAGATGGAATGAACAACCTTCTGAAGGACATCATCTGAGATATTATTGAGAACCTCTGAATCCATGTCTCTAAGTCCTCCAGTGTGCAAGGTTTGGTTTTGTACACCTCCTCTTTTGTGTAAACCCACAGGTAAAAATCACATGGTGTGAGATCTGGACTTGGAGGCCATTCACAGGGTTTGCGTCATCCCATCCAACATCCTGGAAAATGTTGGTTTAACCACACACGCACATTAAGGGCAAAATGGGGTGGTGCACCATCCTGCATGAATATCAGGTCATCAATGTTATCCCAGCCTGACACCGTGGGTCACACATAATTTTCAAGCTTCTGAACATTCATGGTGTCACAGAAGATATGGGCCGATGATTCTTGATGCCATCATTTCACACCACACTTTTGGTTGAGCTTGCATCCTTTCAGCCATCATGTTCGGATCATTATCACACAATGCCCAGTAATGGCAGTTGTGATGATTGATGAAACCACCAGCACAGAATACAGCCTTGTCACTCCAGAGTTTGTTTTCAAACAATTCAGACCAATCTTCATACCAAACTAGCATTAACTCTCCAATCACTCTTGCACGTAAATAAGAAATCCCTGTTCGTGTTTGTTTAAAAAATATTTTCGTCATGACTTTAGTGAATCTAAAAATTCTATAAGCAATTTCTATGCCTAGTTACTTTCAGCCCACCCTGTAGTTGACTTATTCCAATTGTTTCATTTCATAAAATCATTTTAAAAATTGCTTGATAGAAATTATTGGAAATCATGTGATGATTAGTCAGTATTAACATACAAGGTGGCACACAACACAACCTAATGTGTATGTGTGTTCATTCCATCTGTAATCTTGGAAAATAAATTAATCCAGCTATCTGCCCTATTACAAGTTGTTTTGACAAAGATCTTGTCACACACTGTTTGAAGAAGAGAGCAGCCATGTCTGTTTACTAAAAGATGACTAGCACCCTGTGATTCCCCATATCCTAGAAATGTCATGAATACTGACACTGATCATCTTCTTTATCAAAGGAACAACCAATAGCAGTAGGAGTATTTATGTTTATTCTACATGTGCTGGAAGGATTATTGATATTTTTGTTGAATTAATTAAAAGAATTTTATTTATGTTCTTTTGAAAATGCAGGAATTGGACGAGATGTGGCTAAAATGTTGTCAAAATGTGGTGCCACAACATATGCCCTGAGCAGAACTGAAGAACACCTAAATACATTAGTGGCAGAGGTTAGACTTGACCTTTTTATGTTTCTCTTTGTCTCAGTTGTTTGCATGTGAACCATATAATTGCTTCCCCCCACTTCCGCCATATTAAAAAATCATTTGTTAATATCAAGGACTTTCAATATAAATGTTACAAGGCCCCATTTTGTCTTACTTCTTTATGCTTTATACTATAAAATACAAAAATCTAACTTAAAATGATGACTTATATCTGTAGCTACTAGATGCCCTTTTTACAATATGAAAAGCTCCCATTTACCAAACATTTAGATTTTGTAATAATAGAATGGAACTTTCTAGAAGTCTCTAGAAACTTCTACTGGGTTCTAGAGGGCCCAAAAAACATATATAAACAAGAGTTCGTACTAACTAGCCAGTTGCCTTCTGAACCCACAGCCACGATGAGGTCAACTCTGGTCCTTTTGATTCAAGAACAAAGCTTCGACCAAAAGAATCTAAATTCCTACAGTCCTTGAAAAGAAAAGACTATCAGTAAATACTTCACCCCTTTCCTTGATATCATTAACCAAACACTATATATATATATATATATATATATATATATATGTGTGTGTGTGTGTGAATTAATCAAACTATTTTTAAGAAGAAAATAATATAATTCTTGGACTAGCGACAAATTCCCATCTGTCACCTTAATCTACAGTGGATTTCCTCTCCCACACCATTGTCTAGTTACACATGAAGCCAACTACTTTCTGGGTTCTCACACACTTAGTAACTTGTTAGCATTTCCTAACTTATATTGTTTTAAATCTCATCCTTATTGTTCTAAAATATATTGTATTATATGTAAAAGAAAATTTGGCCTTTGTTATTAGATGTAGTCTCTTTTCTCCAACCTTAATTTCTACAAATCTGGTTCTTATTTTGTGTTGTGCCAGCTGTACCATAATTATTAATCATTTTTACCTTAAATAAGGCAATAAAGCCATTAAGACACAAGGGGTCATTGAGAATATGAGAAAAAGAAAAATTATTAAGGAGAGAGAACAATAAAAGAACAGAAATTAAGAAGACAGAAGATTGACATTGTGTTTACATTTTTGATGACCAAATTTGACTGGAAAGCAAGAATCCAGAAGAAGGTTCCACATGCAAGAAGTGCAAGAGAAGAAACTGTTAACATAGAACTTATAGTTACCTCTAGACATTTCAACTGTATGATGAGACTTTGTCACCAATCTAGTACTGTGCTTAAATTCATAAAGTCTAGGTGCCATGGAGGAAAGTAATATTTATTTTGTTTTAATACAAAAATGTGGCACAAGGCCAAATGAGGGGATAGGGGAAGGCTGGTTTTCAATCTGTTTTAGCTAGCCATGATTACTGTCCCAAACATACCACAGTATTCCTTACACCAAAACAATACATTCTTATTCTTACTTACCATTCTTACTATAGCCACCATATTACCAAAGAGGAAAGTTCATCAGAACAATTACCATAAAAGTATTTATAGCAAAGGCATAGGGAAGCTACATTATGTTGGTGGGAAAGTAACTGAAACCAAAGTGCCAGATCAGGGCCAATAATATTGCAGATTCTTTGGATTTTATCAAGAATCTCTAAATATATAGTATGGGCAACAGAATAATCTAGTGTAGTAGTCCTGCTATTCAACCCTTATTCAACCTGGAGTAGAGACCGATTCATACCTTTCCCAAGAGTATTGGCATGTAAATAATTGTAATGAACCCAACTGGAATTTGAATACTGCTCTCTGATTTATCATCCTGAGTCATTATCCATTATACCGCACCCCACATCATCATTTTCTTACTTTTTCTTTTATAAAGCAGTTGTACATTATTTCTTAACTTAGAAAGTTATTCCTCTGTGAATTGCTATCACTTTTCAGGTAGTTGATATTTTTGGTAAGAATAGATAAAATTCTCTGGGTATTAGACAAAACACTTTTCACTATTTTTATCAGTTTTATAGTAATAATAACTGTAGAATCTGTGTTTGTAGAATGTCTTTTAACACTTCTTCCGCAACCATTTTTTTGCTTGGTTTATGTCTGATATGAGCAACCTTTTTTGACTAGTGGACTGCAAGAGATATGATTGATCATAAGGCAAGCTGAATTAATAAAAAGATTCAAGATAATTTTTCATTGAAGGAGCTTCAGACATTTTCGCTAAAGAAGATCATATGGGTAAGAATCTGCCTTAAAAATGGGGTAAAGTTTTATTTTTCTTTGGAGAAAATATTTTCCTACAATTAAAAATGAAATGAAGTCTTGGTATAATATTATCACAGATGACAGTATGATTTGTTTTTGACTTATTCATTTGAAAATACAAAAAGATTTTTTTGATTCATTTCACCTTTTCAGGCTAACATTTTCTACTGGCATGAAGTGGAAAGATTATATTGAATTAATTGCTAGGTTTGCTGCTCTATCTACACAAGTTTGATCAGGAGTACTGCTGCTATATCTGGGCTGGAGTGACTCAGTCTTCACTTTCCAATCTTGATAGTCCAAAAGTGTCTATGTGGCTTTATGGGTGATGACTTGTTTTCAACCTTCTCCTTTCCCACAGATGAAATGTTGCAGTCCTCTTGTTACTCTATCGCTATTTCCATTGTAAATTTTAAAACAAACTACATTCCTTAGTTGCCCCAACTCTAACCCTCTCAGTTAAGACTCTTCACACCACATATATTGAGGTGAACCACCCTCATTCCCTTCATATTTCTCTAATAAGGAGTAAATTCCACTCAGACAGCTTCTTCCCAAGAGCTGTTGCTTTGCAGATTAGAATTCCAGGAAGATGTTTTGCCAACACTTATAATCTTAACCTCTTCAAGTCTAGAGTTAACCATAATCTTTTCCATATAAATGGTGCCTGTTACTCTTACTGCTTTCACAAGTGCCTTCAGTAACCCTCTATATTGAGCGGCCCTTGTATGGAGTGAACATTAGTTAAAAAAAAAAAAAAAAGCCTAGAGGAGAAATCAGCTGCAAGGCTTCAACCATCTTGATTTACTTATATCTTATTTAGTGCAGTACTAGATTGGCAGCAAGGTTTTTTAATTTTACAGTTGAAATGGCTAAATGTAACATTTTAATCTTTTGCATTTTTGCTTGTAGAACCCCCATTCTGGCTTCTTGCTTCCCTGTCAACTTTGATCTTCAAAAATTTAAATGCAATGTCAGTCATTATCTTTTGTCTTCTTAATTGTTGTTCTTTTATTGTTTTCTCTCCTATATAATAAATGCAAAAATGTCTGTCACACTTTTTCAATTAAAGGGACACAACTCACTAACTTTCACTAGCTTTATCTTCTATATAATAAATGCAAAAATCTGTCATGCTTTTTCTATTAAAGGGATACAACTCTCTAACTTGTAAATATCTCATCTTCTTTTATATAAATAAATGCAAACATCAGTGATTCACACTTTTTCAACTTTACTCCTAGAGGCCCAACATATACCATTTTGCAATCAGGCCAACTCTGTGAGGAAATTAAAAACATTTCGGGTTGGATCCAGACCTGCAATCCTGAAATTTTGGATTCCCAAATTTTCTTTACTGTGATTGTCTTTGGCAATTCTTTTTACATGATTTTTTGCAACAATTTTTTTTGTACAACAATTTTTATAACTTGGAAATAAATTTAGAAATAATTGAAATTAATTGCAAAATCCAGTGAAAGTCACACATGAAATAAAAGAAATTGTTTGCATGGAAAATAAGGACCTCCGTACATCAAACTGTCTTTAAATTAAAATAGTGGTAGAAGAATTATCGTTGAACTTTTAAAAGATAAGCTTAAATATTACTGCAATACTTAAATGCAGTGATCAATTTTGAGTTCTTCTGTAGTTTATTGTTGCTTATCGCATACAGCAGCAGTATGCCTTACAAAAAGAAATCTCTGCCAACAGAGGACCAGATTGCAATCAAAAGAGCCAAGGCTGCAGTGAGGAAAAGAAAGTCCCATGCAAATGAAAACGCAGATCAAACAGCAGCCAGGATAGCTTCCAATGTTGAGAAAATGCAAAAACTTAGGAACTCTCAAATTCCTGAGCAAGCTGAGGGCCTAATCAAGAGCCCTCTGCAAGAGTTCACTTAGATACCACCAGATAAGGTGGCTTTTAAGTTTCTAATAGTATATTTTTCTCATATTCTCAAACATTCAATAACCCCTTGTGTCTTAATGGCTTTATTGCCTTGCTTTGGGTGAAATGATTAAAAAAAATAATCTCTGTCTTACAATTTATAATCCTTCAGTAAAATTCTGTATTCTGATTTTTCTTCTTTTTTTTTTTTTTTTTTTTAAAGATGTCCTACAAAATTTAAACTACATAAAAATTAGCCTGCATATCTATAGGTCTACATATACATCTAATATGTAATTTAAATTTTGTTGAGACTTAGAAAGTTAAACTTGAAGATGAATCATTGTTGCCCTGGAGGTTTAATTGTTTTAATTGTTGATAAAAAGAATTCTATCAAAAGTTTACCAGTTTGTGATATCCATCTGAAGAAGGCTGAAGAACTTGTTGGTCAAAATATAGAGATGCAAACAGTAAAGATAATTATGTACCTTTTGAATATTCTTTTCATCTTATTATTCATATATTATTTGCTTTATATATTATGATAAAAAAAAATGAATGATTTTGCATAAATTATGCAGTAAAGCAGATCACTATTACAATATGTCTATTACAATGTATAAATGAATTGATTGCTTAAAAAATATTTTTTCTCACAAGTGTCCCGAGATTCAGCCCGTTGTTTGTGACTTGAGTGATTGGGACAAAACTCGTTCGACAGTTACTTCCCTTGGACCTATTGATCTTCTGGTCAATAATGCGGCCCTTGCAGTCAACAACCCGTTTTTAGAAGCCAGAAAAGAAGACTTTGAGCGGTAAGTTTAGTTTCTATTTAGTTTTTACTGACTCTCTACATCTGTAATCTTTTTTTTTTTTTTTTTTTTGTATTTTTCTTCTCAAGAGGGACTGCTATTGTCTGTGGTCAAACTGTGTTTTTTTCAGTGATGTGTGACAGATATTTACCAAGTTTAGCTTGTAGCCAATGTTGTATCAGTCACCAATTTGTTTTACCAGTTTGCTAGAAATGCTTGTTTAGAATCACTGTTTAGTTCTTGAATTAAGAGTCTTCACCAATATGTAAAAGATGATATTGACTAACATTTTTTAATGTCTTTAATTAGGGTCAGCATGGTATGTATAGGAAAGTTCAACAGGGTGTAATTAGTTATATTTGAGTACTTTCATGAGTCACTCAGTACAGATTAATGAAAGAAATACATATGTGTTTAAGTCTAGTAAGAAATAGATGAGCAGAGTTGTGTGCTTATGAGTTCTCAGTAGAATTAACTGATATCTTTAAATAACACTTCCTATGCTTACAGCAACATCATGTTGAAACTCTGGTTCTCATATGATTATTGAAGTTAAGCAACGTTAAACCTCGGTAGTACATTGATGGGTGACCGCTTAGGAATACCAAGTGCTGTAAGCTTGGATGTTCAAATGGTGAAATAGATAATGGCTCAGAATTATTAATTGGAGAGCTGAGTTCAATTCCAGTTGACTTCAGTTACTTACAAATACTCTTCAGAAAGATATGGATCTACCTCTTTGCCTCCCAGCTACGGGTTAATTAGTAAGACTTGTCTCCCTAAATAATTATCTTTCAAAAACAAATTCTTATATTTTTTGACTGTAAACAACCTGCAAAGAGTTGATAAGCTGTAGAAAAAAAATCAATCAATCAAAAAGCACCCCCACTAAAAAAAAAACAAAAACAAAACTGCTCTCTTAATCATCTGTGAAAACCTTTTTAGCCTTCCATTAGCATAGCTGATGCTAACCTACAGGAGACTGACTCATTTCGCTATCTTGGGCTAATGTTTTCCACTGGCATGAAGTGGAAAGGTTATATTGAATCAATTGCTAGGTCTGCAGCTAGGAAAGTTGGTTACCTGTGTCATGCTAGACAATTTTTTTCACCAGAATCTATCTTGCACATAAGTTTACCATTTATCCATGCTTTAAATATTGCTGCCACATCTGGTCTGATGCTTCTGCCTTGTATTTAGAGATTCTAGATAAAATATAAAGAAGAATCTGCAATGATATTGGTCCTGATCTGGCATCTCAGTTTCAATCACTTTCCCACCACCATAACATAGATTTCCCATACCTTTTCTACAATATTTTCATGATAATTGGTCTGATGAGCTTTCATCTTTGGTACCTAGATTTTATGAATTTAAGTGTAGTAAAATATTGGGGCTAATGTCTCATCATTTTACAGCTGAAATTGCTAGAAGTAGCCATAAGTTCTATGCTAACAGTTTCTTCTATTGCACTTCCTGCTTCTGGAATTCTTTTCTGGCCTCTTTCTTTCCAATTAATTTTGATCTTCAAAAATTTAAATCCAATGTTAATCATTATTTTCTGTCTTCTTAATTCCTGTTTTTTTATTGTTCTCTCTCCTTAATAATATTTTATTTTTCTTATATTCTCTCACTTTCAGTAACCCTTTGCATTTTAGTGGCTTTATTGCCTTGCTTGGGGTGAAATAATTAAAAAAATATATAAAGATATGTTCCTAGTGTGTATTTTTGTTTGAAAACTAGAAGCTTAAAAACCTTTTTTGTATTTTTTTTTTTTTTTTTTTTTTTTTGCATACACTTAATTTTGTGGTACTGTGCTCTGATTGGCCAATGTAAGAGTCTGGATTTCTGTTTTGTGATCAACACTTAGTCTTGATCATACATTTTAACAACTTCTGTTAAATGTTTAATCTGGCATAGCACCTCATTAATAGAACACTCAATGAAGATTAAATTCACCATACTAGCAGTGTTCAATCATACTAGTTCAGGCAGTAGGAATAGACTGATCTTTGATTTCAACATTAACCTCTACCATGCTAATTTCTTTCTAAAATTGTTCCTCCTGCTATTTTTTATTTTTATTTTATTTTTTTTTGAGGGTGCAAAAACATGAACGCCTAATTGTTATAACTTTCTTTGCATTTTGCGCATAAATGTTAATTTTTGTAAAATGAATGAGTAAATTATTTTGATATATGCATTATGTTTTGCATGCATGTTTTGATGTCGAAAACAAAAGAAAAATGAAATGCGAAAAACAAAGCGCGAAACAAAAAACAAATATATTAAAAAATACATAAATAATTCAGCGTAAATTTAACTTTTATTACTCCTTGAGGAGTTCTGAGGGTTGCAATAAGAAGCAAAATCGCTAAGAAGGCTTTCATTTTGTCAAAAAAGTGATGTGTTTACATATGAGAAGACCTGAGCCTTTGTTTTCCTTTTTTTCACTTGACTCATATTTATTTTTGTCATGGACGAATAAAGATACTATTTCATTGTTTATAAATAGACAAAATAATTCAACTTCAGAAAGGCTAACAATTATGGTTGCCAGTAGCAGCCATAAAATTAGTCAGGCATGGATGATAGTAGCTACTAGAATAGCAAAGGGAGAGAATTCTATGGTGACTATTGTTGCCTACAGCGTGGTAAAGGTTAATATAGAAGTAAACCAATCCTTCCTTTCACTAGGTTAGGGTAAGACCTTGAACAAGTCTTGGAAACTTCTAAGCTCCCCATGCCAGAGATAAGAGACATCAACAAAGGGAATTTTAAACTTAACTATTTTATTAACAATGTAGACACCTACATTTCTAGTTATCCAGTGGGCTTGCTCCCTCATTTCAGACATGAAAGGAAACACATCTACATTGTTCAATGGTTAAGGCTCAATTCCCTGAAATACCTTTCTCTATCTATTGTTCTCATACTGGCTCAGCCAATCAAAATTGACTTCCTTGTTTTGTTTTCCATCTAACCTCAAAGGTCAACCCCAGGAAGTTGGAGCAGCGATACACTTCCTCTAAAAAATAATAGCCTGCTAAACTATTATTTAACATTATTCCAAACTTTAAAAATAATAACTTATCCATCATTACTTCTCATAGTTTTGGAAACTATTAAATTATATTTTTTTAACTTTTTAAAGTGTAATTTTAAAATCTGCATGGAGCATAATGCTATTTCCTTTTTTTTTTGCTTGTTTAACATGTTAACTGTTATCAGTAATTTTAACATTTGTAACTTTCCAGGTTATTCAATGTCAATTTGTATTCAGTGGTTAATGTATCACAGGTAAGTCAAGCTTTACATTTATGTAAATATTTTACATTTTCTAAACTCTTTGTAATATTCTGTGTGCAAAATAGAGGAGAATAAGTTAAGGTTAAGGATTAAAATCTTCTAACTAAAAAAACAGACAGGTTATTAGAAATATATCATATGTCTGAAATATGATAGATTTGATAGGGTCAGTTGATGGTCACAAATAGAAGCAGGAAAAAAGGATATGGCAGTGCTTTTCCATTGGCCTGTGAATTGACAAATCAGCAACTAGCAAGAAGGTGAGATTTCTTAATAAAAAAAGGAGTTTCTCCTTCCAAAATGTTTCAGTGAGAATTTTCACCTTGTAGGATTTGGGTTTGCAATGCTAGGATTAAGAATTCTCTCACTCACTTTAGCCTCTTGTTACTAACAAGTAGTCAGTAAAATTTCCATTTACTTATGTAAGTAATATAATTTTAATTTGTGTTTGTATAACATTTTGATAAAAAAAATCGGTAGACAATGAAGAGTAGAAGGAATAAGGGAAAAATGAGAAGATACAAGCAAAGGGTGAAAGAATAACACAGGTACGCAATAATGGATAATCTTAGTTGGATTGGAATGGATAAGGGAGAGAATGAGAAGGTGAAAGAAGAGTACAGGCATAAGATGATAGATAATGTTAGTTGTATACCACCCAGGAATTTAAACAGGTTCAGCTAGTTATTATTAATGAGGTAGGCTAACACTCAAATAAGTAAAAATCTATTTCTGTGCTGGTTTTGCTGATTGGGTTCCTTAATGATATCATATATGTTGATAAAAAAACTGGAGAATGAGCCTTGCAAAGGATACAAAATTATTTGTTTAAAGACAATAACTAAGTGTATTTCAATTTTGACTGCTTTTAAGAAAATATTTTAAAGTGAAGTAGTCTGGAAATTATATACAATTTAGAATTAAATATTTTTCCCCTCAGTTAAATTCTTTGTTTTCATTAAGAAAAAGAAAAATCAGTAGATTTTGGAAATAGTTTCTGACTTTTATGCAGATACCTCTAAAGATGCACTAAAAAATGAGCATACATGATGAAAAAATGCCCAAAACTTAATAAAAACAAAGTTTTATCATCAAAATCTTAAAAGGGAAGACCAAAGGATTTTTTACGTAATAACTAATTTTTTTAATCCTTTTTAGAATGTTTGAAATTTCGGTTAAAAATATTGTTTTTCTGGTGTCAACAGGGACCATAAATTTGAGCATCTTATTGCAGTGAAAACCACATCAATTTGAAAATTCTTGCGAAAATCAGATAATTGTCACATTTTAATGAAACTTTCAGGACTTATTCAGAAATTAATGCAAATATTTTTTTTTAAATTTCTTTTTTTAGAAAATCTTAGTAAAAAAAATTTTCTCTTACATTTAATACTCTCTTATTACTTGATGAAATTTTGAGAAATTCTTTTTTATAGCACTTAATGTTTATATTATTTATAAGGACAAGTCCTTGGAGAATTTAAATCATCAATTTTTTTGTGTCAAATGGTGAAAATCTGTTCTAAATTGTAAAATAAAAAATGCAATAAAACCAAGACATTATTCAATTAGAAAAGCCTTTAATTGCTTTTATGAACAAAATATAATATGGACACTATTGTCTTACAAAAAAAACTTTTTTCAATGAATAATTAATTTTTACAAGATTTGTTTTCATTTTTTAAAAATTTTATTAGAATAATTTATAAACTTTTAAAGTTTTAAAATTCTGTATTGAAGCATTCAAGTGATATTATTATTAAATGAAAACTGTATTTACAATTGATAAATGAAAAATTAACTAACCCCATACTATTTTAAAAATAATGCTGATTTTTGTAACTATGAATGTCCATATATGATATTATCAGAAAATAAGAGCAGTAACCATAGTAAATTTAAAATTTATTGGTAATTTCCTCAACAAGCATCTTTGTAAGTAAGACTATAAAGCCAAAGTACCTAAAATTCAATAAAATATTATAAATAAAGTATTTTAAATTTTAAAGATTACTTAGTAGTTAAAAATATTACAAAAAAAAACGGTGTTTGTTGCATTCATTGTGTAATTTTCTTATCTATTATCTCCTTAGATAAATTTCCCAAACATCATGCTGTCGATAAATATGTCAACACCTCATAAAAATACCTATCTCCGTGTTAAAAAATGTTTTTCTGCAATATCTTAAAGTATAAGTAAGTAATATTTGTTTCAATTCAGAATAATTAAACTTTAAATCAGCTAATTTTCTCTAACATTTCAGGAAATATATTTTATTTTTGAAAGATTTTTTAATAAAGAGAATTGTGTTGCATTGACAGATTTGTCAATATGGACAATTTTATTGATTTTACTGATAATCAGAAAAAATAATTCCAATCAATTTCAATTTGGTTTGAAATACAGCAAAGTATTTTGCGTATTGGAAATATTAAATTTAATCTATGGTATTAGATCTTGGAATTAAACTTGGTATTAGAACTAAAATAAAACCCAAAGATTTTTTGTTTTTCAAATGCATTTTAAACCTTAGGTATCACTTTTTAAAAAAATCTATACAGATAAAATACAATGGCATCTGTTCTGTTGGTTTGCAATTTGTCATAAGACCAGGTTGTTATTATGACAGGAAAAAAGGAACAAATGGAAGAAAATAGAAATCTGATTTTTATTCAACTCCAAGTGATATTCAAAATTTTTGATTTTTGAAATATGAAAGTTTAAGATTATTTGCAACTACTTTTAAGAAAGTAAGCTTTGTGTGAAGTCTAGTCTTGTATGCAAATTTTCACACCTCCAATATTTTGCAGATGCCACAAAATTATATAAATATATTGGGGAAACGTATTTATGGACACAAAAAGGATCTCATAATTAACAATTTATCAAATGTATTAGTTATACACAGAAATAAGTTCAGCCACAACTTCAATCTAAAAAATTTCATGATTATTAAAAGAGAAAATAACTTCTTTAGATGGAAAGTTCTTGAGAGTGCAGCTATTGATTCTTTCCAAAATGTTAACTTAGGCTCTAGATTTTTAAAAATATTTCCTTTCTTAAAAGTTATACTCTTTTTCCAGGTCAACATCCATGACCATAAAAATTAAAAGAAAATGACTAACTTCTTTTAAAATAAGTAAATAAATACATAAATAATTTATCAAATTAAAATAATAATTACATTAAAAAATAAATAAATATAATTAAAGAAATAAGAAAATAAAAATTCAATAACATTAACTCTCTTTCATTTTATTAAGCATTTAATTACATCACTTAGCATCCTCAATAGTTTATTTTTACTTACACAGCTTTAAGAATATTTTAGAGCATTCTTAAATTTAAAAATTTTAAAAACTTAACATTATTTTTACTTCTTTTTATAAATACATGTTGCAAAATTCTTACATTTGCCTTGATAAAGTACCTCAGGAGACAAAGTGCATTGTTAAAGAAAAGTTTTCCTTTTGTTTTTATTCACACACACACACGCACTCACATATATGTATAACATATAACATTTTCTTTAAATAATAGAAAATCTTTTCCTTGAACGCATAAGTGTCTATAGATTTTGTCCCATAAACATCATATCTACCAAGAATTCTATTCATTTGATTCTGTTAGCTTGATTATTTGGCTACAGTACAATATTCTTTCTTAGTTTATTCTAATTGATAACATTTAAAAAAAAAATAAAGAAATTCTTTAGAGCCATTCTGTAATCTTTTGGTAATTTTATGGCACCTTCAATAAGTTTTCTTAACTATCAGTTTCTATTTTTTTCAAGATCTGTCAGATTTTTCTTTGGCTATTGAAGCAAATTCTATTTTTGTCAAATCATCCCAAAACACTTAAAAAAAATGATTTATATTTCAGGTTGTTGCCAAAAGAATGATTGAAGACAAGCGCAAAGGATCCATTGTGAATGTGTCTAGCCAATCATCTTTGATTGGACTGAAAGATCATGCTGTGTACAGTAGCAGTAAAGGTGCCCTTGATGCTCTCACAAGAGTTATGGCTGTTGAATTAGGACCTTTTGGGGTTTGTGTACCATATTTTTTATTTCAGATTATTATAAAAAAAAAAAAAAAAACTTGCTATAGATACTAACTTAGAAATATAGGTAATATAACTTCTTGTTAAGAATTTTAATGCATGACCTTTTCTCTACTTTTTTCACTCTCTGGTTACTTATACATTAACATATACAACACAACTATTTTCTTTCTTTTTTTTACTTGTATCATTTGTTAGATAAATCAATACTAATCTGATTATCTTTAATCACTTCTAATGCAGAAATATTTCCAGTGATATAATTTCAAATTTCCCATATTGACACAATGCTGCTACTGTTTTGGCATTTTCTATTTAGCATCTGGTGTTGGTGTTAACTTAGATAGAATAATCCTGGGTATGATGATAAACTACATCTGGCAGCAAGGCTACTGATCAGGAGATTGGAAGTTTTGAGGAGCGTGGATTCACCTCTAATTGCTATTGTTCCCAGGTCTACCCTCACCCAGGGTGTTAGCACCTGTTAGGATCCCAACTATGGGTAAATAGTGAACTCTCAAACAAAAACAAAATACTATGAAAGCAACAAAAAAAAATACATTTTTATAGTAAAAATACCAGCAATACATTTTTATATAAAGTTATCAACAATACCTACTTATAGTAAAATTATGAACAATACATTTTTAAAGCAAAATGATCAACAGTACCTTTTATCTGTAGTTGAAGGCATACAATTGCATTCAAAATATTTAGATTTCAGCATTAAATAACCCTAGAGTCTGATATGTCACTGAACAAAATCAACCAACTTAGAATATAACAAATAGGAATGATTTACCTATTTTTTGGTGTAGTTTTCTATTTTGGAAAATGCAATGATTTTATATATATATATATATATATATATATATATATATATACATTTTAAATGCAGCAATGATTTCTATCCCATATATCACAAAATATATATATATACCAGTTGTAACAGTAAAGTCGTCCAATTGTTAGATTAAACTTTGAACCATTGTATCTTAGAAATTATTAAAGGTATCTTACTGGAATTCTCCAAGGTTTTAATAACCCTATTGGACTTTGAACAATAAGAATGTATTTAGCTCTAAGTTGAAATGATGATCCTCTTTGCTGTTGTGACCTCCTGATCCAGTTTTCCTTTCTACTGTTCCCTCTTTTTTAAAATTATTCACCATTCTCTTGATGGTTTTTGAATGGACTTTGAAGATGGAAGCCAGAGTATGAATGGTACCATTACTGAAAGCCTGAATGATCTTTTTTCATCTCACCATTGCTCAGTTGGGAAGACATAGTGAGGCTGACACAAAATGATTTTAACTTGTTTTCTTTCTAGCTGAATAACTCAAAAGCTTTTTCAGTGATTCTTATGACAAATGGTGCTAAATGTCTTATCTGAAAACCCTGGAAAAACAATTTAATTAGTTTTGTGGTTTTTAGATATTAAACATTTTGTGGGATGGAAAATTTTGCTGTTACACCCAGTGTGTATGTGTGTATGTATATATAAAAATCCAAATAAAATGAGAGCGAATCAAATATAAATTCAAATATTCATAACATTAATTTAAAACAGGGCTCAATACAATAGTTGAACAATATTCTTTATTATAGAATATTACATTAGAATATGTGTAAAACCCCTACATAAATGCACTCATGTTTTGATGCATATCATCGCATCTCATCAGGCAGTAGTAAATGAGGATTATTATAATTTTAAATTGAAATTTGGAATTTTAATTAGGAATAGTGGGTATAAGTCCACTGAAATTAAGTTTATAGAATATGACGGTAGTTCACAGGAAAGAAATAGAAACAGGAAGATCATCTGGTACACACCTCCATTTAACCAATTAGTACAAAGTTAGGCCATAAGTTTCTAAAATTAATTGACAAACATTTCTGAAAAGCAACCCTCTTAGTAAATTTTTTAATAGGAATACATTAAAACTTAGTTATAGTTGTACAAATAATCTTGAGAAAATAAAGTTGCACAACAATAGAACTTTATAATCTCTATCTATAAAAGGCAGGATGTGTGTGTGTGTGTGTGTAACGAATGCATGGCCGCAATTTTCGACAGATTTGCACCAAAATTTACATGCACATGCTCCAAGTTAGCAAGAAGGCCAAGACCAACTTTGCATTTCCCAACTCCCATCGATAGTGGAAATAATCGATTTTTTTCATGCTTCTATGGCAGATTTCATGTAGTTTGCGGCCATTTTGTGCTGGCCAGAGTGAGAGCCAATAGCTGGCTGCCATGAATAGGCAAGAAGATTCTATTGACCTGCGTGAGAGCCAACAGCTGACTGACATGAATGTTAACTAGCATGCAAAAAAAAATCGATAGCTGCATTCGTCACAAGTGGGAAAAATTTAAATCTGCATGGCACTTTACTCCAATTGGCTCATTAAACTTGCTTAAACTCAACGTTGATTCTGATTCAACTGGGTTGGGTGTGAAAAAGTATTTGTTGTTAACATTTTTTTTTCATTCGGTTTTTCCAGTTATGAGTCCTTTTTTAAAGCTGATTGTTTTGTGTTCATTTTGTTTAGTTCTTTTTTCGTAACAGATTTAATGTTTAGTATAGAGCTTAGAAAAAAATTTGCAGTGTGAGATAGGCAAGAAGTAAGGCATGTAGCAACATCAGCATGGCAAAGGGCACTCCTTTAAAGGCAAGGAAGGGCAAAAATATTTTAAGTCAAGTGATAGCGATTGCTGTATGAGTCGTACGATTTTTGAATCAAGCATGGGCAACGCCAGGTCATGCTGCTAGTTTTAACTATAATGCAAGTACTAATGCTAATATTGTTAAGGACAGCAACCAATGTAATTGTAGGAATCCTAACCAATGCCCATTTTCTAACAAATGCTTAACTGAATCCCTTGTGTATCTGTGTTCTATCTCTTCAATAGAAGATCCAAGGGTTGAAAAGTTTTATATTAGCAGCACCAAGAACACTTTCAAAGATCGTTGGTATAAGCACCAACCTCTTTTACTAATGCTACCTATAGAAATAGTACTTCACTTTCAAAATATTTTTGGAAGTTGAAAGAAGAAAATAAAACCCCTAAAGTTAAAAGGAAAATTTTAAAACTAGCTAAAACATGTAGATACTTATATGAACCTTGTTTCCTGTGTTTACAGAAGAAAATGCAGATAATCAGATTTTCTGTTTTCACTATTTTTAAATATTTACTTTTTCATTTTAATTTTTAAAGAGTCATATTATTTACGTACTATAAAATAATTTTTGTTAAATTATGTTGCTTCCTCAGTGAAAGTGTCAGCCGTTTGTCATCAACAATGTAGCAAAAATTCCATTTCAGATATTACATATGTATCCATTGTAATTTTAAATCTGTGTTTCATGACATCTTACTTAAAATAAACCATTTTGATTGGTTGAACCGATTATCAACATAACATGTCTGGATACTTTACATTTCTTTATTTTCCTTATATTTTTTTCTCCCTTCTTTTTCTTTGTGGAAGAGACTATATCTTGTGTCTTTCTTTCTTGCTCTTATTTACTTTCTTCTTTTTTTGTGGAAAAAGAGGTTGTTTATAAGTAAATATTAAAGATTGTAATAATCCTCATTTACTACCACCTGATGAGATGTAATGATATGCATCAAAACATGAATGCATTCATGTAGCAGTTTTACACATTCTAATGTAATATCCTATAATAAAGTGTGTGTGTGTGTGTATATATATATATATATATATATATGCGCGTTTTGGAATCATATTTTTAAATAAATAATTATATATATATATATATATACACACAAATCATTGACTGAGAGTTTCAGTGTACTGGCCTTGTTCAATGGCTGGTCACATCAGATTATGCATTCTCTCCCAGAAATTGTATTGTAACTATGGTCTATTCAGCATAATTGCAGTATAAACCTTAGGTTAACTTTGTGGGTGTTGAAGAAACACGAATTTACCTCATCTGGCATGTGTGTGCAACAAAGATTAACTTTCATTCTAGGAGGCAAGCATACCTGGAAACTAACAACTAGCCATTTCAAATTTAATATCTATCTTAGCTAGCAAAAAATATGGAATGACTGCACTGACAATTATGCTGAATAGACAATAGTTATAATAAACTTCTCAAAATCTGATCAAATGACCAAATGTTACTTCACCCCACCTTTATTTTAAGGTTTTTTGATCAAGCTGATAACTGTTCAGCACATCCTTATAGAGTATGTCCACCCAGCTTTTTTGCTTTGTAGCAAATAAAAAAGTAACAGATATGATATACAAAAAGTTTTGCTTAATAGCTAAACATTCTGTCCTCATGTAATATTCTTAAACACATTAGATTAGGTTATTATAAATTAATGATATATTTATTTCCAAATCAAGTTAAGGAAAGTCTAATGAATTCATTCAATGTTGATGAAAAAATTATGGAATCATCAAGACAAATACTGACAACTTGTATTTCTTGCTATTCTTGAATTCTTTGAGTCTTCACTAATGAAAAATAATATTCCCCAAATTGGTTCTCACTTTTGTAATAGGAGTGACAATGACTTACCAGGAGCAAAGCGAATTCGTTGCCTCGCGTGTCAAACCATTCTCTGAGAGTTGGTCGCGCGTGCACCTACTGCCATTTTTATGCAGCAGACTTATTTGCATAAGAGAACCACGCTACCGATTAAAAACCCGGCGAGTGGACGTGGAGGCCACTGCTTTTCTAGGCTTCAGCAAGACTAGACGGATTGCAGACAGAAAGCGACAGCAATTTCTGGACATACGACAAGCTATTTCGGCAGACATGGACGGCCGGTTTGATTTTAAAATAATTCCCGAGTTTGACGGGACTGGATCTGTGGTTGAATGGCTCGAGAAATTGGAATTGGTGTGCGACCTATCGGGAGTGAAGCGGCTTAATCGTGTCATCCCTCTTCGCTTAACCAGGGGAGCATTTGCGGTTTACCAGCAACTATCTACGGAAGA